CTCAGACTGAAGGTTCGTGACAACGGGGTGAGGTTCGGTAGAGCCAAAGGGTCTACAACAATTGACACAAGCAAGTGTTCACACAGTAGTAAAGACAACTGCTTGCATTGCTTACTGGAGAACCTTCTGAAGGTCCTCCTAACGAGTGACTATCTAGCTAGTATATATAATCCTTGTTTCACCATGCCCTGGCGACTATCACCAGTGACTGTTCTGTATTCACTGTTGATACTCCGTTGTCGACAGTGATTTCCCATTATCACCAGTGACGGCTTGATCTTGGCAGTGATAATCCTCTGATTGGTCCGTTGAATGATTGGTCGCCAGACGTCCCGCGGACCCGGCTGCAGCCCCTCAGGCCGCCAACAATGGTCATTCCATGACAGAATAGCTTTAAGTAGCTCTGAGTAGCTTGCGAGCCTTGAATGCAAGTTGAACTCTGAACCTCTCAACTTAGAATAGGGGAAAGAGCCCCTCTATATACATATAGGAGCCACTAATCTAGTTAGGAATCTACTATAGGGCTATATACGACCCTACTGCTAGCCAGGTGCTAACCAGGTTCTAACAGTATACAAGAAAGGAGTTAAGAACCTAACTATTTATAGAGCTATATACTTCTATTCCTAACTGGGTGTTACCTAGCTATTTATATCTCTAGCTACTAGTATCCCAAGCCGCTCTTAACTTCTAACTGTTGAGCAACTACTTATAGGTTATAAGCTATTGAGTAGTTCCACTTATAGAGTATAAACCGTTGACTAGCTATTGCGATAGGTAAGCTGCTTGGTAAATTCTATACGAATGAATAGTTAAGCCGCTTGTATGGCCAGCTGCTGTCAAGTTCAATCGTATCAAGATTGCAGCGGCTGGCGTGTAGTATGTGTAAACCGACTTATAGTGGCTTACATGACTAAGCGGAATGGTTGCGGCTGTCCAAAATTGGGTTGTGCCGCTAAGGAGTCAGGGTTAGCGTCAACTTCGGATCCAGCTGTTCATTGGATCATGCACACGCATAAGGCTGATGGCGGGCCGGCGGCTGATGCAGCGAGGCGACTGCCTGCCGCTGACAGGAACCATCAATGTCATAGCCGCCACTCCCGGCGTCTCGGATCCAACACTCCGTCCGATCTGAGGCTCGATATCCGAATCCTCGCCCACCTTCCTTTCTTTTTCCTCAAAGAATATTTGGCTCGCTATGGAACCCAGAATAATGTTTTCTACGCCAACCTGACTACAAATCCTTGTTCTTTCTCCGACCCTCCTTGCGCTTAACTTACCGCCCATCGCCGACGCCGACACTCGACGCGACGACCACCCCGGCATTTCCTATCAAATTCCTGCGTTCAAGAGTGTTGCGCGTCCTGCGCGACTGGCATCATGGACTACGCTCGCCTTCGGGCTGCAGCGCTGAATCATGGTGAAGACGAGGAGGCCGTTACCGTCGACACGCGAGCCCTCATCGACAAGGTTCTGGCTCGATACTCGGGAGAGTGGACCACGCTCAGAGAACTCATCCAGAATGCCGCCGATGCCCAGGCGACCACGGTCAGGGTCAAATGGGAGACGTTGCCGTCGACTCAAGTGCCCCTCCCTGCCACCACCAACCAGTCCGACATCATCAGGCATGTCATCGCCCACCACACACTGAAGCGGCTCGTCGTTCAAAACGATGGCCAGCCATTTACCAAGACCGACTGGGCGAGGTTGAAGAAGATAGCAGAGGGAAACCCAGACGAGACGAAGATTGGCGCATTTGGCGTTGGCTTTTACAGCGTCTTTGCCGATTGCGAGGAGCCCTTTGTCAGTTCTGCCAACGAGGCCATGGCCTTCTACTGGAAGGGCAATGCGCTCTTTACGCGGAAGATCACGCTACCGCCTGGCGAAGGAAACTCCGACACCACTTTCGTGCTGGACTATAGGAGCTCGACCACACCTCTTCCAAATTTGCTCTCGGTCAGCCAGTTTCTTGCCACCAGCTTGACATTTGTTGCTTTGCAAAACATCGAGTTTTGGATAGACGACTGGAAAGTCCTGTCGCTGCAAAAGAAGGCGTCTCCGAGTATAGACATTCCCATTCCGCGCGATATCGAGACCAAGACCAAGGACGGGCTCATGAAAGTGTCAAAGGCGGACCGCACAAGCACCCAAATAGACGCCACATTCATGAGCGTCATAGGTTGGAAGCCACAGGCCGCAGCTTCCACCGCCAAATCCAACGAGTCGTATGGCGCTGAGTTGCACTCGTTGAAGACATTCTTTTCTCGGCTCACGGCAGGCTCGTCGCGAGGCAAGGCGGCGAAGGAGGAGAAGGCGATTCAAGATGCAATCGCAGAGGATCTCACAGCTATATCAACATCCAGCATCTTCCTTCGGGCAACTTCGGCGCAAGTAACCACCAGCGTCACTGGCTCATTTGCTGCTGAACTAGAAAGGGCGACCAAAAAGCCCCCTCCGAAAGTGACCAAGATATCCATCCTGACTTCTTCCTACGACGAGGCCATGGCTTCGGCGACTTCCTCATTAAATCAGGCTACAAAGATAGCAGACGTCTTCGCCTCCGTTCTGCCCAGCAAGAAGCCCGGAGGCCGGATATTTATTGGTTTTCCAACCACGCAGACCACCGGTGCCGGGCTGCACATCTCTGCTCCCTCGGTCATTCCCACGGTTGAGCGGGAGGCTATTGACTTAAACGCTCGCTGGGTGCGCACTTGGAACATGGAGATGCTGCGTGCCGCCGGCATCATGTCGCGGCTCGCTTTTACATTTGAGATGGCAGATCTAAATGACAAGCTCAAACGAATGTCCGAGTCCAGCAGCAGCAAGAAGGGGCCAGGCGTCTCCCCCGCCGATGCGCAGAAACTGGTCCCCCAAGCAATGCACATTCTGAAGACATACACCTTCCAGGACTCGACGCCGAGTGCCCATGTCGCCCGGCTCATTGAGGAGGCATTTTGGACCGCTTACAAGCATGCATCTATCGAGGTGTACTCCTCTCGGGGAGTTCTACCCACGACAAAAGTCCGGAACTCGTCTGATGAGATCGGTAAATTTGTGGGGGGAATTCCGGTGGTCCTGAAGGATATGATGGAGGCGCCCTTTATCAAGAAACTGGTAGAGTTTGGACTGATTGAGGATATCACGGTCGATGACATCTGCCAGGAGCTTGGGGCCAAGGCGCTTGACAAGGACCAGCTTCATCATTTCCTTCAGTGGATCACCAAGAGCGCGTTCGAGGGGAAGTTTGACCGTCCAAGTGTCCGACGGCTCTTGGATGTCACTGTTGCGACAATCTCAGATGGCGGCAACTCGGGCGATATCGTCGCCTTAGGACCCATCGAGAACTATCTCAACAGCAAGATCCCAGGAACGTTTCCAGTTCCGCCGACCACGTTGCCAGCCGCCTTTACGGCCGGAATCCAGGAGCCCCGGTTGCAGGCCCTGGGCTGGGAACCTCTAGGCATCGTTCCTTGGCTTCGTTTCCTGATCAGTTCCGCGTCCGGGAATGCTGACGACCAGAACCTGACGAAGTCGGACCAGTTCGCTCTGAAGGTCCTGACTGTTCTCTCAAAGAATTGGGATAACCTGAGCCCAAGCTCCAAATCCTCAGTCGTGTCGGCGCTGCAGAACATCACGGTTATGCCGACCAAGGCGGGAATGAAGAAACCCGCCGAGTCCTTCTTCCCGTCTGTGAAGCTGTTTGACGACCTTCCGACGCTTGAGGGCTGTGCCAATCTAAAGGAGAAATTCCTGGTCGCTCTGGGTGTAAGAAAGACTGTCGATCTCGAGACGATTTTCACCCGGCTGTTAAGCCCTTCGCCCGCGGCTGGCAGCAGCGCACAGCCGAGATGGAGTCATATGGAGCTGATCAAGTATCTCACTTCGGTGAAGGACGACATTCCAGAAGCCGATATGAAGAAGCTCCGCGAGTCGCCGCTGTGCCCTGCCGAGGCGGGTCCCCGCGGGATGGAGCCCACCAAGGGCTCGACACGGTTGTACAAGGTATCAGAGCTCTTCGAGCCCAGAGACTCTCTGCGAACATTAGGACTGCCCATCTTGCATTGGCCAGGACCGCCAGGAAGTTTCAGAAATACAAGCAACGAGGCCCGGTTCTTGTACTTACTCGGCTTGCGTCCGCACCCATCTGTGGCGGAGCTCCTCGGGATGATGGCATCGCCAGACGAGGACCTTCGCACCAGCGCCATAAAATATTTTGTAGCTAACCATAGCTTGAACGGGTATGCATCATCTGACATCTCGGGCACCGACAAGGCTATCCTTCCAATTGAAGGCAACGGAAAGCAATTGGTTCAGCCGTCCGCCTGCTACACGAATGAAAAAGCCGCTATCTTCGGATACAACATACTGAGAAAAGACTTGCATCAACACGCACTCAAGTTTGGCGTTGCGCGCGATCCTCCAATCACGGGCTGTGTGGAGAGGCTTATTGCGAAACCGCCTCAGGACCGTGCCATGGCCATCACTCTGTTCGAGTATTTTGCTACCCGTCTGGGCGACTTGGGACACCACCACCTGACCAGGTTGAGAGACGCGCCCATTGTTCCCGTTCTTAGGCAGAAAGGCCATGAACACGGGCTTGAAGAGAAGTCCGGGTCCACGCTCACTCATATTCGTCCTCAGCATTGCTACTTGGGAAGCTCGTCAACCTACAAAGACATCTTTGACTTTGTTGACTTTGGTCCTGACGCCAATGCATTCCTGTTCAAATGCGGCGCCAAAAGCGAGCCTACGAAGCACGAGATTGCCGAGCTAGCCTGCAGTGAACCGGCGCGGTTGCTAAGCACCCTGCAGAGTCCGGAGAGGTACCTCAACCTCATCAAGTCCCTCGCTGAGGACCTCGGGAGCCTGAAAAGAGACAGGGTGCTGTTCAAGAAGATGAAGACTTCGGCATGGTTGCTGGGATTCCGCGAGATCTCTTCGGGGAAAGGTAAGGAGTCGTACGAGGAGGAGGAAGAGGCGCCCATCAAGCAGTACCAACTCGCGACCGCCACCGACATTGTCATCCTAGACGACTACATCAGCTACCGGCTTTTCAAGCAAGCGCTGCTCTGCGCCCCGGAGGAAGATGCTCTCGAGGCTTTCTATATGGCCCTCGGTTCCGAGACTCTGGGCAGCAGAGTGCAGGAGGATATCCGGGTGGGTCCGCGGACGGCGAACCAAGAGGGCGCCGAGTGGCTGCGGAAGCACGTGCTAGAGCGCTCGAAGCTCTTCTTGCACGAGTACTCCAAAGACAAGCGGGATGCGATCAAGCACGACACAAGATGGCTCGAGAAGAACTTGCAGGTGTTGTCGGTCGCTTCGGTAGCACTGCGGCGGGTGCTCAAGGGCCACGCCAAGGCGCACCAGGAGAAACGGTCGGCTGCTAGTTCGCAGACGGCTTACGGATGGACCCTCTATGTCTCTGCCGAGGGCAAGCCCGACATGTACCAGGTCGGGCAAGCTATCTGTCAGCTCTTGCTCAACCGGCCCAACCAGAACGCCTACGTTTTCTTCGAGCCATTCCTCAAGCTCGGCCTGCTCGATCTGCGCTCGCGCGGGTATAACGTCGACCGGATCCTGCGCGCAAAAGCCGCCGAGGCGAGACTAGCCGAGGAAGAACGGCGCAAAGCGCTCGAGGAAGAACAGAAACAGATTGAAGAGCAACGGAGGCAATGGGCGGCTGCCCAAACCGGGGCGGCCGAGGCGGCGCGCGAAGAGGTGCGGACACCGCAACGAGACCCGCGGCCTGGCCTCATGCCAGGCAGTTTCGAGGATTCCCCAGACGACCGGCCCCTGACACCGCCTCCCAAAGAGCAGCACAACAAGCCCAGGCGGGGCGCCGGTAGTCTCTTCTCCAATCTGACCCGCCGGCTCGGTTTCGAAATGGGCTCGGACTCGCAGAACGAGTTGGATAAGTTCCTGCCCCCGGCACCACCACCGCATGAGGATCCTGGTGTTGCCGCCGTCGAAATTGGCAAGGGCAAAGCAAACGGCGCCTCAGACGAGCAGCACGACGACGGTCGCGTTACTAACCCGGCCATCATCCACCAGAACCTCCTCAACGCAATCCAATCCACCCGGCCGCACGACTCGGCGAGGCTCTTCTCCCCGCCGCACCAGACCGAGGTGAAGGAGCAGGCGACGTACTGCGACTCGACGCCGGCGCAGAACATTGTGTTTGCGGCCGACGCGCCGGACGGCATGCGCGTGTTTTTGCATCGCAGCCTGGCCGATCGCGGAGGCAGTGGCGGTGTCAGCACGTTCTTTGCTGAGCATATCGACCCAATCGCCAGGTTCGAAGCTCTCCTCCGCGACGTGGGTGGTGTGTACGGCCTGCCGGTCAAGGCGCTGCATATTTTCTGTGATGAGGCAGGCGGCACAATCGCGTTCAACAGCGGCGGGGCTATCTTCTGCAATTTGAGGTTTTTTGAGCAGCTCCATTTTAAGAGGATGGAGGGGAATGCGGAGGGTAGGGTTGAGGCTGGGACTTGGTAAGCATCATTACTGTTTCTTGTGTAACCGCCCCTTTTTCTCTGAGGGTTGTTGCTGACGTTCTGCTTCACTTCACGTAGGTGGTGGGTTGTCATTGCCCATGAGCTGGCGCATAACCTGGTAGGGCCGCATAATTCGGAGCACAGCTACTATACGTGAGTCCGACCGATATATCTCGTTCCAGTTGGGCATGATGGCTGACTAGAAACATGGGTTTACAGAGAGTCGTTTGTCCAACAATACTTCCCCAAGATGATGGCCAAGGCGATGGCGTGGATGAATACCGCCGCTGCCGCTCCTTCTGCTGCTGTTGGTCCTCCTGCGCCTGGTCCGAGTGTTCAGAGGACGGGAACTCTTGGGGCTCCGCCGCCGTATAGTCTGCTTGACTAGCAAGGTATTTGAATGGGTTGAGGCGATTGTCTGGGAAGCGGGCCCAAGGCGGGCGTTATAGAGGGTGTTTGTTTTATTTGTATTTGGTATCCGCTCTGGACCTAAGGTTCTCCCCGTCACTGCTTTGTTGTTTTACCATTGTCTTGGCCGTTGATCGGCTGACCTAGCTTCGTGTGCCGTTGGGTCGGACAGAGGATACAGGCCGGGGTTGCATGGGCATGCGTGGCATACAGCTGCATGGGTCAACATGTGGTGTTACTGTAGAGGGGTAGAGCGGGATCATACATACATTACTGTGGTAGACGGCTCCTTAGGGGTCAGGGAATATCAGTGCATGTTCGCCTGCTTATGGAGACAATTGTGGTGAGCTGGGCCGGCCTTGGTTTCGGTCTTCTCGGTATGTTTTCATGGCATGATCGGTGAATTGGAGACCTCGGGAAGACGGTTTGTTTCGCCATCTCTCCGAGTAACGGGCGGGTTCCGAATCTGAGTGTGATTAGATGGTTGATTTGTCCATTACTGCACCTAACTTCCTAAGTAGCCCCTTACCAGTCCCAGCAGTCAAAAGGAACAACAGTAGAATTGAACTGTTAGCTCAAACCTGTCATGCAGCGTAGGCTTTTACCCCGCTTCGCACCCCAGAACATCACACCGAGCCAACCCCGAATTACAACCGTCCTGCGACACGCACCATGTGGAGTGCCGTTGCCCTGTGTCACGTAGAACCAAGTACCGAATGCTTGCCGTTCCCTGGATGATTGAGCCGGCTGCAGGCGCAATGAGGAGCCGGATCTGTTTGCTGCCTGTTCTTTGCAAGAGGTGAGGGGCAAGTGAGGAGGAGAAAGGAGGAGTAGGGGAGTTCCAGCTTGTAGGAAGGAGGGAGGAGGTATTGACTGCATGCTGCATGAATCAGGCTGGAAGCTGCGGCAACAGCACGCCCTCAAGGTCCTTCCACGGATAGTAGCGCTCTGTCTCTGCTCCTGCCGGTTAAACAAGTTGTTGGGTCCCAACATAGCACGACATCTACGGTTCCGTATGGAAGCAGCGGCACTACAAATTGGTCGTTGGAGATACCAATTCCAGACTCGTACAGCTGTCCTCGGGCTGCTCGCCCAATCCCGTCCGACACCCCTCACTCACGTACTTTCCGTGTCCAAGTCACGTTCGGTTCCATCGATCGACGGGGCCACAGCACGGCCGCGGCGGTTCGGAGACCAGCGTGTGGGTGGACTGAGGTTCGGAGCGGCGCATTGACAAATGGGAGCTTGGGCTTCTGAGGAGCTGCGCGAATCGACACGCTCCAGAAGGCGGCATTCCCTCCGTCCCGACGAGCTACGCAGCTCCCTGATCTGGTGATCGGATTCCACTCCATAGTAGTGCAATTCCGCAGAGAGGGGCACCTGTAAACTGCACATAAATATCCCGAGCCTGCTCTCCGACTGGATGAGTCCTTCCTTTCTCATTCATCCTTCTCGTTTGCTGCGTCATTGATCCGAGTTACAACTCCGGATACTTACCCCTGTCTCTGCCTCGAATATAAAAGTCAATATCTCCTGTCAGGCTATCTACGCTACCAGACTCCCTCCATCTCCATCTGCAGAACACATCCGTCACAATGGTACTTATTACTCGATCCACCTCCCTCTTCTCGTCTCGAGTGCCCTCTCTCCTTCATCCCGTCTCGCGGCCCAGCACCTGGCGGGCTGCGTTGCACACACATGCTAGCACACTAGGGAGCTGTCTTCTGAAAAGGAGCGGGCCTCAATTGCATCCACAAATCTCCAAGACGTCGACTCGCCTGCTGACAACTCAACGTGAAAAGGTCAAAGTCCTTGCTGTTCTCTACGACGGCGGCAAGCATGCTGAGCAGGTAAGACATCATCTCGGCTTTGCTCCCATATTCCATACCTCCATCCGTGCCGCCGGCAACCCACGAGACACTTCGATAAGATGACCCTGCGGCTATCTTCAACCTGGATTGCGGGGTAGTGTGCAGTTGTGGCGTCACAATTACAGGGCCTGCAGGGGTCCTTTCGGGGTCTTCGGAGAAGTGGGGATATTGCGACAGCGGCCCGTCTTGGCGATCTGTTCGGCACGCGACAAAGACGCAGCGTTGTGGGGCCGTTCCTGGACCCCGGGAACGCTGGAAAACGGCATGGTTGGCTGCTTGGCTAACTCGAGAAATCGTCTAGGTTCCTGAGCTCCTCGGGACCACTGAGAATGAGCTCGGCATTCGCAAATGGCTGGAAGACCAGGGCCACACCCTGGTGACAACATCGGACAAGGAAGGCGAGAACTCGACCTTTGACCGGGAGCTGGTTGACGCCGAGATCATCATCACCACTCCGTGAGTGTTCTCCTTCGCTACCTTTCGCGCCTGCAACGGACACAGTACTTACCACACCTCAGCTTCCACCCCGGCTATCTGACTGCTGAGCGCCTCGCCAAGGCCAAGAAGCTCAAGCTCGCTGTTACGGCCGGCATTGGGTCTGACCATGTTGACCTCGACGCTGCTAACAAGACCAACGGCGGCATCACCGTCGCTGAGGTTACCGGGTCCAACGTTGTCTCGGTTGCCGAGCATGTCGTAATGACTATCCTGTGCTTGGTCCGCAATTTCGTGCCCGCCCACGAGATGATCGAGCAGGGCCGCTGGGACGTTGCCGAGGCCGCGAAGAACGAGTTCGACCTCGAAGGCAAGGTCGTCGGCACGGTTGCTGTGGGCCGCATCGGCGAGCGCGTGCTGCGCCGCCTCAAGCCCTTTGACTGCAAGGAGCTCCTCTACTACGACTACCAGCCTCTGAGCCCTGAGAAGGAGAAGGAGATTGGCTGCCGCCGGGTCGACTCGCTCGAGGAGATGCTCGCGCAGTGTGACGTGGTGACCATCAACTGCCCTCTCCACGAGAAGACACGCGGTCTCTTCAACAAGGACCTCATCGCCAAGATGAAGCCCGGCTCCTGGCTCGTCAACACAGCCCGTGGCGCCATCGTCGTCAAGGAGGACGTCGCCGAGGCCCTCCGCACCGGCCACCTACGCGGCTACGGCGGTGACGTCTGGTTCCCCCAGCCCGCCCCGCCCGACCACGTGCTGCGCACCGCAAAGAACCCCTTCGGTGGTGGCAACGCCATGGTGCCCCACATGAGCGGTACCTCACTCGACGCCCAGAAGCGCTACGCTGCCGGCGTCAAGTCCATCCTGCAGAGCTACCTCTCGGGCAAGTTTGATTACCGGCCCGAGGACCTGATTGTACACAACGGCGACTATGCCACAAAGGCGTACGGTCAGCGGCAGGTAACCGGGCGGTCTTGAGGGGTTGGAGAGTGAAGGGGTCAACACAAACTGTACATAGCGTCGCGGATCACTTTCCCTCGAATTGCGGGGTGGCTTCTGTAGGACTGTTTTATGAGTTATGAACACAAATGTTTTCATGTCCAACGTGTCTGGGTCCACATAATGTTCGTAGTCAAACGGCGTGTAGCTTCGAAACCAACCAACCGGTGTAAGTAATATTAAAGTCGACGCTGTTATGATATTGCATCTATTATGCGTGTCTGGTATACCAAGAACCAGACGGTGTGCCGGCCCATGCGTTTCTCCCAGCCCAGATCCCAGATCATTGCGTCAACAGGGCGTCAGTATATAAACATCTGATCCAAGCGCACCGTCTAAGCAAGGTCCAGCCTTCGCGGGAACAGCAAAACCCAGTGAACACCGTTCCGCATGTATAACGGTCACCTACCCCTCCCCCAACGCCAGAATTTCCACCACCTCCCGCTCCCGTCCCCGCCCTCGCTCGCCTCCCTTTTGACGAGGTGATTCCTCGCCCTCTGAACCCGCACCCGGCGGAGGTAATACACGGGCACGCCGGCGACCACGAAGCCCACGACGATCAGCGTCTGCAGCGGCTGGGCAAAGACGGCCCTGCTCAGCAGGAACAGGCTGACGCAGCAGAAGATGATGGGCGTCGAAATCCACGCCCGGTAGGGACGCTCAAGGTTGGGCTCACGCACGCGCAGGACGATGAGCCCGAGCACCGTGATGAAGTAAAACGTGTAGCCGGCCACGCCGTAAAAGGTCACGAGAGTCGAAAACTCGCCGACGAGGCAGTAGGCGGCCGTCAGCGAGGCGTTGAGCGCGAGGGCCGGGATGGGCGTGAAGAAGAGGCCCGTGTCCTCGTCGCCGAATAGCGAAGCGAGTTTCTTGGTGAGCCAGGAGCGGGTGCGGATCGTTGAGGTGGAAATGGCTAGTGGTTCCTCGGTGCCGGTTCCTGTTCCTAGTCGGCCAAAGAAGGACGGGATGTAGCCTTCTTTGCCGGCCACGTAGACGAGGCGGCTCGAGGTGAAGGTTGACGAGTTGAGCGCGCCAAAGCATGAGGCTGATACGATCAGCGCTAGTACTAGCGAGCCGGCCGGCCCGAAGACCTTGGCGCCAAAGGTGACGGCGACTGTGTTGGATGAGTTGATGGTGTCAAACGGCAGGACGAAAAAGTAGGCGATGTTGGCGAGGATGTAGCTGATGATGACGAGGGGCATGGCGGTGTGGATTACGCGCGGGAGGTCGCGGCTCGGGTTGCGGAATTCGCCCACTACGTAGTTGGTCTACCAAGGGAGGCATGTCAATGGGGCAAACGAACGGTGGGTGGGAAGAGGCCGGCGTAACTCACATTATCCCATCCGTCAAAAGCCCACAAGCCTGCGTATAGCGCCACAGCCCAGGCCGATGGGTCCATCTTGGTGCCCTCGAACCAAGCATGATTCTTCCAGTCCGTGTTCGCCGTGCCCGAAAATGTGTATCCCGTAATAGCAACCACAATCCCTATAACCGTAACGCCAAGCAATGCGACAAACTTCAAAAACATGAGCATGTCGTTGATCCGGGTCCCTAGCCGGGTCGAGACGCAGTTCAGAAATGTGACGAGGAACAACCCCACCAGCGCAACCGCTTTGTTGATCCACGGACTGACCGTCTCCGCCTCAGGCCCAATGAAGGCCCTCACCAGGTACTCGCCCATGATGATGGCGACGATGGCGTTCCCGCCGGGCTTCAACACCAGCACCGCAACCCACGTGAACAGGAACCCCGCCAGCTCTCCGAATATCTTGGAGAGATATATTTGCGCTCCTCCATTGAGCGGTATTGCTCCGCCCAGCTCCGCGTAGCTCGCCGCGCCCGTCCACGCCAGAACGCCCGCGAAAACCCAGATGATCAACGCCGCCCCAGGGGACCCGGCGTTCACGTTGACCTGGCTCGGTGACGAGAAGATGCCAGACCCAATAATCAGCCCGACAATGAGCGACAAGCCATTCAGATACGTCAGCGTCTTGTGCTTCTCAAGCGAGCCGGCCCCAAACCCGCCGCTCGCCAGAGTCGCCGACGTCGGGGCGCCGAGCGGGGCATATCCGGCAGCGGCGGTGGAGGAGAGCGGGAAGAGGTTGTGCGCGAACTCGAAGGTCGAGGACACGGAGGAGAAGGTGCGCGCGTGGTTCTCGGGCCGGCCGCCGCGAAATGAGGCGGGCTTGGCGCTGTCCAGCGGGTCGTCCCGCTCGAGGGAGGCGCGCCGCGACGACGAGATGCTCGGTCGCGAGTCTGTCTCGGTCGTGGCCTCGCTGGGGCTGGAACTCGCGAGAGAAGCTAGTTCGAGCGAGTCGCGCGCATCGGGCTGCAGGTTGGAGTAGAGCGGCGGCATTGCCGGGTTGGGCCTAGGCGCGGTGGAAAGAGCGGGCTTGTGCGTGCTCGCGCGAGCTGGCTTTCCCCTGGCCTTGAACTGGAGTGCTGTTGAACTATTCCCCCGATAGTCTCGTCAAGCTGAGAATCATGACGGTGGAAGTTGGTAGGCTGGGACCAACAAGGAGAGGAGAGGGGAGAGGGGACGGCGCCGGAAAAAAGTGTTGTGATTCTGGCCGCTGTCAAGGGTCGGGTCGATAATGTGGTTGGTGGTTTCGACTGCAAACTAACAGAAGCGGACGACAACTGACGTCTTATGTAATTATTCACTAGATTGGCTATGCGTCTGGTTATTAAAGATGCGCTCTTGCTGTGAAAACGCTGAGACAGAGAGGGCGCCGAGTCCGTGCCGGCGAGTCGAAGCAAAAGGGGGGAAGAAGGTTGATCTGTTCGAGTCGAGTTTTGCGGTGTATTGACCATCAAAAGGGGTCCCTTTGATCTCACCAAAAAGACAGGAGGACAAGCCAAGATCCACCGTTGCCCCTGCCCAACGACGCCAATTCTCGGCACTTCCAATTGCAATTTTTAGCACGTTTAGCGTTTAACGTTACACCGTGCGACCCTTGTTTTGGCCTAATCCGATACAATCGATAAGCCATCTGAACCGCCTTCTCGTCGCTGAGCGATCTTGTGTATTTCGGGACTTCAAAGTATCGACTGAACGATGGGCATGACGGTAGTTGAATGAGGTTGTTCAGAGGTACCTAACCATGGACACTCTGGAATTACTTGGGTACGGACAATTGCAAAAGTAGTACAGAGTAACGTACCTCGCAATGTACCCGTACAGTACACCGTACGGAGTATTGTAACTGAGCGTGGGTGGCCCGTGCAGACAGGGTACAGGCCCCACTTATTTTCAAAGCTCCGTCTCTGAAGCTCCAGCGCATGCATATGAGCAACTGATCGTATGACAAAGTATGGAAGCTATATCGAAAGCTTGAGGCTATCTCCTTTACCTCTGCAGCTATCTTCAACCATGTAACTCAATCACAATGCCGCTGATACTTGGGAGGTCAATTGGTCGGTATTTGGCCAAACCGGGCTCGGTCCATCTCCGCCATATCTACCGACGAGATCTTTGGCTTCCGAGCTACGGCCGATGCCCCTCGCCTCGATGGTTCAGCGCCACTGCTGCAAACTATGCCGATGCCAGATTGGACCTTCCTGCCATTGACAAGAAGTGGCAGCAGAGATGGGCGTCGATGAATCTTGCTTCTGCTCGCGAGACCGATGACCCCGTCACTGCGAGCAAATACATCCTGCCCATGTTCCCCTATCCATCGGGTTACCTGCACTTGGGTCACTTGCGCGTTTACACCATTGCCGATGCCGTCGCGCGCTTCCATACTCTTCAAGGCCACAATGTCTTGCTGCCCATGGGCTGGGATGCTTTCGGGTTGCCCGCCGAAAATGCCGCCATCGAGAGGGGCATCAACCCGGCCACTTGGACGAGAGCGAACATTGCCAAGATGAAGGAGCAGCTGCATATGATGAATGGGTCGTGGGACTGGTCTCGTGTACGTACAAGCCGAGCAAAGCATGGTTCCGTTGCTGACAGCTTGCCGCTCAGGAGCTGGCCACCTGCGACCCAGCTTTTTACAAGCACACCCAAAAGATCTTTCTGCTCCTGCACGAACAAGGACTCGCCTACCAGGATGAAGCCGAAGTGAACTACGACCCGATTGACAAGACGGTGTTGGCAAACGAGCAAGTTGACGCGAACGGGTGTTCGTGGCGGTCAGGTGCCAAAGTCGAGAAGAAGAAGCTAAAGCAATGGTTCCTTCGTATCTCCAGTTTCCGGGAGTCTTTGCTCCGAGACCTGGATTTGTTGGCCAAGGATGAGGCATGGCCTGAGAGGGTTCTGGCAATGCAAAAGAACTGGCTAGGCAAGTCAACTGGCGCTACCATCAAATTCCCGGTGCTGGCGTTCGACCACGACATGCACACAGCGATAGAGGTCTTCACGAGTCGGCCGGAAACTCTCTTCGGGGTACAATATCTGGCACTTGCATCGACCCATCCAGCTGTCACTTCGCTGGCAAGTAAAGACCCCGAGCTCCAAGCCTTCCTCGACACGCTCCCTGGACTACCTCCCGACTCCAAGGTTGGATACCTGCTTCCTCACATCCGCGCCATCAACCCTCTAGCATACCACGAGGCAACGCCCGAGGCCACCAAACAGTCCATTCCCATCTACGTCGCGCCGTATGTCATTGGCGATTACGGCGAGGGCGCGGTCATGGGTGTTCCGGCACATGACGTCCGCGATCATGCTTTCTGGAAAACCCATCACTATGACGCGCCCGTTCGGTTTGTACTTGCGGCATCCGAAGACGAATCGACAACAGCCATGCAAAACGAACCATTTGTTGGCCACGGCATCATGACGGAGCACAGCGGCTTGTATAGGGGCAAGTCGTCCGAGGAGGCCGGTCAGATGCTGGTGTCGATGCTTGAGGCTTCTGGACTTGCGAAACCGGTGGAAAAGTGGCGCCTCAGAGACTGGCTGATTAGCCGTCAGCGGTATTGGGGGACACCGATCCCCATTGTCCATTGCGAATCATGTGGCGCGGTGCCCGTACCTGATGAGCAGCTTCCGGTGCTGCTTCCAGAGGTTGATGAACACTGGGCGGGCAAGAAGACGGGCAATCCTCTCGAAGCCCTTAAAGATTGGGTGAACACGTCATGTCCGAAGTGTAATGGCCCTGGCAAGCGGGACACAGACACGATGGACACGTTTGTGGATTCCAGCTGGTACTTCATGCGCTTCATTGATACGCACAACACTGGCTCTCCGTTCTCGGCCAAAAAGGCCAAGTCTATACTGCCCGTTGACCTCTACATAGGGGGCATTGAGCACGCCATCTTGCATCTGCTCTACGCTCGGTTCATGTACAAATTCCTCATGACGTCCCCTTTAGTAGCTGGGGAAGGAGAGGCGTCAGACGAGGCTCACGAGCCCTTCCGACGGCTAATCACCCAAGGCATGGTGCACGGCAAGACATACAGCGACCCATCAACCGGCAGATTTCTTAAGCCAGATGAGGTCGACTTGAGCGATCCTTCAAACCCAAAGGTTGTTGCAACCGGGGCGGCAGCCAACGTCAGCTATGAAAAGATGTCTAAGTCCAAGCACAACGGCGTCGACCCCACCAATCTCATCGTCCAGCACGGAGCCGACGCGACGCGGGCGCATATGCTTTTCCAAGCACCCGTCAGCGAGGTACTTGACTGGGACAGCGAGAAGATTGTAGGCGTGACCCGCTGGCTTGGCCGGCTGCACAATTTTGTGCTGAGGCTCGGACCAGCCGCAGCAGAAGACGACATGGTGCCATCACCGAAAGAGTACTTTGAGAACACGCTGAGCAAGGTTGATTCAATGAGTGCGCAGGAGCTGGCACGGTGGGATGTCGATGTGGCTGTCTGGCGCGAGGTGCAAAGGACGATTGGCTCGGTCACGGCGTCGTACGAGAAGGTGTACGCGCTCAACACGGTTGTGTCGGATCTCATGAGTCTGACGAACACAATTCTGGGGGCGAACGAGGCGAGCCTGCACATTAAAAGACAGGCCGCGTCTGCTCTGCTGCGCATGATGGCACCCATCACGCCGGCTTTTGCCGAGGAGTGCTGGAGTCTACTGCGGTCGCAGCAGCCCTCTGAGAGCGGGTCCATGTTCCGCGGCGAGGGAAGAGCAATGTTCCCTGTACCAGACGGGACGCTCGACCTGCTGCAGCCGAGAAAGCAACCTTGTGCGGTGCAGATGAATGGTAAGTTGCGCTTTGTGGTGGATATACCGAAGCCAGGGGTGGGAATGACTCGGGACGAACTGAGGGGATGGGTTGTGGGGGAGATCTTGAAGACGGAAGAAGGCAAGGCGAGGTTGGCGAACGGGTCGGTTGATGTTGCAAAGGCGAAGAAGGTTATTGTTATTGGCGACGGAAAGCTGGTGAACTTTGTATTATGACAATGTACAACAAATAGCGGCATTGACCGCATTATAGACTGTATGTACATATAATTAGATGTAAACTGTCTCTTCCCACTTACCCATTCAGTGACATGCCGCATTATTCAACCTCTTGTCTGCACAAATACACACTCCTCCCCCTTCCCTCGCCCCTAACAACAACCTCCCTCCCAGCAATCTCAACCTTCTCAACCCTGGCATTGGCGCCTGGCTCATCCCGCCAAATCTCCACCGTCTCGTACTTTTCCATATCCCTCCCCTCGATTCTCGTAGTAGAAGCACCATTTCCCTGCGCAAGGGCCATAGTAACGACCCGAACGGCCTGCTCCCACCCGCCAACCTCCAGCAGCACCCGTCTAGGGGGGCGGGGCGAGAGCAGTTGCGCAATCTCTAGGATACGCGCGTAGAATGCATCCTCTGGTCGGCAGCCATAATGGTCGGGGTGCTGGTACCCGTCCCCCGGAACGAGCGCCGTCTTGGGCTCGTGGTTGCGCACCGAACGGGCTGTGTCGGTGGCGAAGCCCCGGGGGGAGATGTACGGCGGGTTGGCGGTTAGGAGGTCCCACGTTTTTGTTCTTGTTTGGTTGGAACTGGGACCTGAAGAAGAGGATAGGGAAGAGAATGTTTGGAGGCTTTGGAGGAAGGTTGGGGAGAAGATGTCGGCTTGGTAGAAGGCGACTTCTGCTTCTCCCTCTTCAGTTACCGCGGGAGGAGGGAGATGGCCTAGCCGGGCGTTGTGATGGTGGTTCTGGCGGGCGAGGGATATGGCTTTGGGGGAAATGTCGATGCCGAGGGCGGCTATACGGGGTGGAATGGGTAAGTGGTTTGGGGGCTTCAGGAGGAGGGAGGTTAGAAGCAGGGGGATGCAGCCTGTTCCGGTGCAGAGGTCTAATATGGAAAGGGGGTTGAGGGTTCCTCTTTCTTTGGTAAGGAGGGAGGCGAGGTGAAGCGTGTAGGCTTCTGTTTCGGGTCTGGAGCAGGCGAGTTAGAATTCTGAGCTACTGGTATTCAATGCCTCCCAAGTCAGGAGCTATAAGTGGGAACCTGCTGTACCTGGGAATCAAAACGCCCGGTCGACATTTGATGTCGAGATGGCCGAACGGCTGCGTCCCGAGCACATACTGCAAGGGAACCCCCTGTCCACGCTTCTCACAGAGCTGCCACACGCGCAAACCAGGTGGGATGGGAGACCTGGTGTCTCGGACATGTTCGCAGATCCAGCGCAGCTCGTTGGCGGCCGACTGCAGGTCTCGACAGGCCAGGAGGAGCAGGGTGGCCATGGGCGAGATCTCCCTCCGGGCGCGCCAGAGGAGAGAGGGAGGAAGGCGGGGCATGGCGACTTCAGTTCCTTCTACACTCCCTGTGGCTACACTCCAAATGGACCTACCGGGGCGATTAGCTGGTGCCTGTTGTGCCTGGAACTTCCTGTCCCAGGGCTGGAAGGTGCGTACTGCAGATGTCTTAGGAGTTAGGACTGGAGGTTAGGTAAGTTGTGGGCTATCGGTTACTATTTTGCAATATCATTGCTGGAAATCTTCCATGGATCTTTAAATCACTGTTTCAGGCGATAATCGAAACTTTGCAATATCAATGTACTCATCCGTTGTTGATCCGAGTCTCAACAAACTGAGAAATGGATTCCATATTGGTTTATCAGAGCATCTGCGCATGGGCAAGGCTGATATTGGCTTCATGCTTCATAATTAACGTTGTATCCGATAAAAGCATAGAGTAACGTTATGCATGCGGATCTAACTCGGATCTAACACCGTTGATGCACGTCAATCGCCGACGTCAGGGCCCGGATCCATTCCACGACACGGAACCTGCCCTGACCACTTCCCGTCACCATGCTACGCCACCGGACATTGCGGTCTTGCCAGTCGTCACCTGGAATACCGGTACACCCTCGCCCGCCATGACAATACACAGGCTGGTAGCAACGCGCACATGCAGCAGGTGGGGGTTTGGCACGCAGCGGAGGGCCCTTGCGACCAAACCGCCTGTCTTGCCCTTGGCGTGGGAGCATAGATGCCCGCCGCCAACGTGCCCCTGTGCGCCGACGCCCGAGATGCCCTCGGGGTTTGAAATTGACCATGAAACGGGCATCCATAATCTCATGCCCAGTTACAACCAGCACGTGTTGGTGTGCACCGGCAAAGATGACTGGCCAAGCCGCATCGAGGATGACAACGGCGGCGACAATTTGGCCGCCGACCTGCGCAAGCTGCTCGGCCGTGGCGGCAAGTACCACGACGTAAGCCTTTATCTCGTCTTGCATGGCTCTGCAAATTTACTGATCAACATGTGACGGTGACAGGACTGCCACCACGTTTCGGTTCTCAATTCCTCGTTCCCTTCCTCCCCGTCGTCCAGGGAACAGCCCGAGTTGCAGACCAGCTCCGTCTACCTCCTCCCCATGTTCAAATACGTCCCCTATGTGCCCCGCGAGTCCTCAAACAGCGTCGAGGCCCTTGTGAAAGGCTTTCTCCTCGCGGAAAGGCTCGACCCCTGGCATGACAAGAAGCCGCACACCGACCGGGACAGGCTGCTCCGTAAGCCCGTCTACCAGGGTTTGCTGCGGGGTGTAAGGGACGTGCGCGAGGTGGTGGTGCTCATCTGCGGGCACGGCGGCAGGGACTATAGATGCGGCGTGTACGGGCCGCTGTTGAGGGGCGAGTTTGAGACGAGGCTGCCTGAGCGCGGGGTGCAGGTGCTCAAGGGGCCGGTGGAGGTTGAAGGGGGAGCGAAGCCGGCTGCGGAAGGGAAAACGGACGCTAAGGAGGAGAGAAGAGGGCTCGCTGCCCGCGTCGGGCTGATTAGCCACGTTGGAGGACACAAGTGGGCAGGGAATGTGATTATCTACCTGCCGCCGGATATGAAGACGAAAGACGGAGAGATACATCGGCTAGCAGGCCATGGGATCTGGTACAGGAGAGTCGAACCGAGACATGTTGAGGGCCTCATCGAAGAGACGATCCTAAACGGGCTCATCGTTGGGGAGTTGTTTGGGGGTGGCATCAGGCCGGATGGGGAACCTGTCTGGGGAGAGGATCTGCGGGTTGATATCCCTTGGTTACCATGGAGTCGAAGTAAGGAGTTTGACAACATCAGACGCTTCTGACAGGGGTCCACTTCTGGTTATGGCCAATGCCTGGCAAGGACTGGCGAATGCAATTGTTTCAAGATCGGCGTCAGTTGTGTAAGTACTTGCTTACATACGGAGTAGTACAATGGTAATCTCACAGGGCCGCCGATGTCCAAGTGCCGGTTTCTTCAATCTTGCGGCCCCGAAGCACTGCTTAGCTGCATATTATGCGCTTATCCGGCATCATGAATTTCCCACCAAGAAGAGTGTTCGCATCCATTTCTATATTCGAAATCGATCTTGATTTATCACACCGTCTCCATAATAATAAGAGGAGAGATATCAAGCGAAGACATACATTGCTGATCAAATAAACCATGGATATCCCAAGATGACTCGAGCAGCCATTCATTACTGTCCTCGCATCCCAAGGAGGGGAGCAACAACCTGCTGCTTCCTCACCGCAGCGAGACGACCCTCAAACCCACACACATCATTTACTTCCGCTATAAGACAGTCAATTACACTTCCAAGCGCGCTACAACACCAATCCCAACGACAACAACAACATGCATTTCACACATCATCAGCCCGGTTACTCTCCCACCTTACCGAGGATGACCAACAACAGAAAAGTCATCATCACCAACCGCCCCATAACAACAAGAAAACCCGAACCCACCGATTCCTCCTCCTCGCCCTTTTGACTCTACCAGCCCTGTCCCTCCCCATCTTCCTATCCTCCTCTCATTTTTTATCAAAACCCAACACCCTCAACCCAACCACGTTCACGCCCTTCACAATCACCTCCCGTGAGGAGGTATCCCCGACAGCCTTCATCCTGACCGTCGGCCCCCCTTCTTCTTCCTCTGCAGATGTGATCCGCCAGGCCTGGCACCAGCTCGGCCTGTGGTCGGTCGAGATCAAGCAGCCGCAACTGCAAGTCGCAAGGGAATACACGCCCTTGCCACCGGAGAATGGTGATGGGGATGAGGGGGATGCGACAATGCGATTCCTGATCCGCCGTGTGCATGGTGGCGAGGTGTCGTCGTACCTTGCTCGTTTGAGGGTCGGGGATATGGTGGAGATTAGAGGGCCCCGGGGTGGGTTTGATGTGCGAGCTAGGTTGGGGGTTGGTGGTGATGGCGGTACTGCTGCTGCTGGTGGTGATGGTGGTGGTGATAGGGACCGGACGGAGGAAGGGGGAAGGAGGGAACTTAGGGCCGGCGGAGAGGGGGAGAAGGAGGTGAAGGAGAAGAAGAAGAAGGTGGTCTTCCTGGCAGGCGGGACGGGGATAGCCCCGGCTCTGCAAGCCGCCAGGCGGATCTTATCTGCCCAGCCCACCTCCTCAGGGGTGGAAATGGAGGTAGTCTGGGCTAATCGGAGAAGGGAGGACTGTCTTGGCTGCGAAGGGACGCAGGAACAAGGGACAGTGGTGGCCATGCTGGAGGAGATGCGCGCCAAGTACGGCGACCGGTTCAGGTACACCTGCACCGTGGATGAGGAGGGTTCTTTTATTGATGCTGGGACGGTCACCCGGGCGACGGGTGTAGCGGGCCGCGGCGCGTCAAACTCGTGGTGGCCGTGGCCCAAGCCCAACAACACCCCAGCTTCGCAACCTTCTGCGCTTTTCATCGACTCAGACCAGTGCCGCTACCACTCGGCTAAAAGGCTGGTCGTGTCTGCTGATCAAGACCCCCCCGCTGGCACGGAGAGCGAGGAGTGTCGCTGCGTGGATATCGATGGCAGCCGTGTTAAAGGGGGGAAGAATCTGCTGATCGTGTCTGGCCCGGACGGCTTCATCGCTAGGTACGTCGGAGCCAAGATGTGGGGGGATGGGAAGGAACTGCAAGGCCCTGTCAAGGCCATGGTTGGCGAACTCAGGAGGAAATACCCAAGTCTTGCGGACGAGTGGCTGGTTTTGAAGATGTAGAACGGCGTCTGTACTATATGTGTACATTACCATGGTCGTAGGGGTGCATAGATATACGCGGATCAATGTCAAGATCGCTATCAAAGCTACACCTTTAAGTATCATGACACATGAACCCGGGTTTAAACCCATGCGCAGAATCCACAACGAACTTCCAATTGCTAACCAATTGCAATGCTCTAGCCGCCAACGCCACCCAATGCCTTGACTCTAACCCCCGTCCAACCGCTCAGATCCCCTGAACCTTCCGGTACGAAGGCGGCTTCATCGTCCTCTGGATGACCTTGGCCGCATACACAGGAATCAGCGACATGGCGCCGATGGCAGCGACACGCCAGTAGAATCCCCTAAAGATCTCGTCAGCCATTTCTATCCTCTGGAACCCCACCTCTCACACAGATAGACTTACACAGTCAACACAAACCCCAAATCAAAATACCGCCCCAGGAACGGTATGGACCCGATAAACATGAGAAATGTCCCCAGGATCGAGACCACCATGACCCAGTGCCACGTCGTGATCTCAATGGCAACCATGAGCAGCTCGTTGAGCACCAGCACTGTGTAGCTGACGGCCACCATGCGAGGACCATCAACCTCGGTCAGGACCTGCGACAGGCCCTGGATCAGGCAGCCCTGGTAGATGGACACAAACACCCAGACAAAGAACGTGCGGTACGAGAGCGAGCGGCCAGACGTCAGTTCCTTGTACAGTTCCGGGTACAGATTGGTCAGGTTCTCATCCACGTCCTTATCCAACACGAGGGACAGGACGGGCGCGGCGGTGTAAACAGTTGCGTAGCCTACCATTAGCCAGTCCTACACAGGGGTTATTAGTAAGGTGAAAGTTGGGAAACCGAGGCGGTGCGACGAACCTTGTAAAGACCCTCAGGCTCGAACTTGAGGGCAATACTGTACATGGTCTGGCAAACGGCAATAATCAGACCGCGGTGAATGACAAACTGGGCCAGCTTGGCGCTCCGCTTGTAGCTGTTGCGGCCGTGCCACACAAGCAGCTTGGTCAGGTGGTGGAACTGCTCGATGGAAAAGTCGGCGGCGAGACTGGCCTGGCGGCCTTCCTTGCCGACAATGCCCACGCCAACGTCGGCGGCCTGGATCATGGACACGTCGTTGCCGCCGTCGCCGATACAGCATACGCGCTTCTTTGTGTACTCCTTGATCAGCCTGGCCACCTCGGCTTTTTGCGTGGGCGAGCACCGACAGGCTACTACGGCTGGGAGCAGGACGGCGACCGAGATAAACTCGGTCCTGTAATGCGTCAGGTACATGCCGAGACTCTCGCCGTCGATCAGTAGGCAGGAGTCCGTTTTGCTCCGCAGGAGGTCGAGGTTCTCTTGAGCTGCATCTTTCCGGCGGAGTTTAGCTATTGTGTGAATATACTGCCCCCGGGCAACCAGTTTTGAGCTAACTGCCACGCAGCGTGCAGTCTCGACTTTATCGCCGGTGAGCATCCAGATTTTGATCCCAGCGTTGCGAAGAAGCTCCAGCGACGGCTTTACGTCTTTTTGCAGCTTATCTTCTACGCCGGTAACGCCAAGCAGCTCCAAGTCATGCTCGAGGTACCGTGATACGACGGCCTGCATTCCGGCCTCACGACCGCTGATGGCCAGGGATGCCTCCTGATACTTGGCGGCAAATTCCTGGTACTCAGCTGTCGACAGGCGTTTCCTGCCTACAACGAGAGTCCGAAGGCCTTCACGGGCCATGTTTGCCGTCTCTTCTTCTAGCCAGTCGTTGGCTGCGACGATGGAACCCATGACGGTGTCTGCGCCTTTCTGGTAGAACCAAATCTCGCCAGTGCCGATGCTTGGCACGCCAGGTTGCAGCTTCTCGTAGAATTGCACTATGATACCCATGCGCTTGCCTTCAGAGGTGAAAGGGAAAATGTCCAAAATGCGGACTTTGACCACGGTCCGGCCGGTCTCGGGGGACTCGAGGGACATTCCTTTGCGGTCACGATATGCCAGACGAAGGCCAACCGATTCAGTCCAGCGCACAATGGCAATCTCATCTGGCGAGCTGGCCTGATATGATCTCACCATTTGGCCGTTCTCCTCTTCGGTGGTTGGGGTTACGTTGTGGCACAGGGCAAGCGCAAGCACAACATCGCGCACGCGGGAGCCAATCTCTCGGCGGGTCCTTGTCGCTCCCACGTTTGCTGCTGCCGTTGAATGCGACGACGATGGAGTGGCAAGCGTCGCGCTGTCTGATCCGTTGACTGAAGGTGGTAAATGAAAGCCTTGTCTCACGTAGGTTGAAACTTCGTCCATCGCGTCGTTGGCGTATGATACCGTGCCCACGTGGACCTTCTTCATCTCCATTTCATTCTGGGTCAAGGTCCCCGTCTTATCACTGAGTAGATATTCGATCCGGCCGAGGTCCTCTGGGATGGTGCTGGTCCGCACAACGGCACCGGGTATTCCCGGATCCCTTTGGATAAACCAAGAGTAGACACTCTTGCCAAGATCGAGATTGACCCTCAGGCTGATGGGTACGATGGTCGAAAATAGGACCAGGAACCTCATAATCTTGACGTACCAAATGCTGCCCTGGGTATTGCCAAATCCTTCAAGGGCGACCAGGATGATGGACAGAGCAAGTGTGAGGAAGCAGAGTATCTTGGTCAGTGAGTTGATCTCATATTCCAGGAGACCAGTCTTGGAGCGAGACGGTGCAGTGGACAAGGCTGAGCGCGTCTGAGGCCCCGTGTAAACAATGACGGCTAGGGTTGTGGCATGGGACGCGATGACGGTATTGGCCCATGCAGTGTTATCAATCGACAGCGGCGCCGCTTTCACCGGGCCATCACTGGCTTGCGAGTATGCGGTGGTGCTCATGACGTCCTCCCTGGAAGGTAATAGCTCCAGGGTGCCCACGAACTCATTTACCTTTTTGTCTGGCTTGCCGCCAGTGACTCGGAGGCAGACCAACTCCTCAGTGGCCAGATTCTGTGAGAGTGGAGATGCAAGTCGTAGCTTCCAGTCAGTCTCACCGTCCAGCTGGTCTGTTCTGATAAATGTCTCCCCGTTTGAACTACCTTCGGCAGCCTCGTGAAGGTTATCAGCCTCTGACGCCGCGCCCGCCGAGCTGCCTTCCCCTGGGTCGTGATCCAGCAGCAATGCCTCCTCTTTCGGCGCGACCGCCGGTTCCTCGGGTTTGCGACCGGCGGGATCGTTCGACAAACACTTCAAAATGATGACGTCGGCTGGCACACGGTGTCCCTTGCTGAGCTTTAGCACGTCTCCGACCTTGAGGTCCCGAGACTTTTTGCTGATTTCGGAAACACGCCATAACGGAGCTTTCGGCGTACCGTCGCTCTGGGTCTGCTCTTCCTCCTCCTGGATATCTGACAGCCTGTCTGTTTCTGGGGCGAAACGCTTGGACCCTTTCCGCACATGGGAGGACTTCATTCTCTTCCTTGGCCGGATGCTTCCGATACCCTTCCGGGAGTCCTCAAAATTTAGCACCGTGTACTGCTCGGAGTTGGCCTCATTGTCCCTTCTCCGTCTCTCAATATCATCGTAGGCCTCTTTTCCAAGGGTGATGACCAGCACAAATGCTAGCGGGGCAACATATGTCGAGAGGTAGCCGATGCGTAATGCCGGGATCGCCTGCGAGAGCGCTACCAGAAGGAAATACATGTTGAAAAAGAAAGAAAACTCGTTGTAGAGCGTAACGGGCAGGAAACTCCAGGGCGTGTACTTGGCATTGGAGATGACATTGGGCGGGAAGCGTATTGACTGGGATGATCCGACAGCAATGAGTCTCGAAGCCGACGGATCGTCTTCCTCCTTGTCTAATTCCTCATCATGGTTGCTCTGGTCTCGGGCGGACGACGACATAAAACTGGGAAGCCTCAGGCCGAGGATCCTTAAGCCGTCGTTGGCGTACGGTTGCCGGCGCTTGGCGGTACTGGAGCTGGGGCCCTGCCCACTGAGCAGCGGAGCATCGTCACGGCCGGCAGCGCTGGCGTCGGAATGGCGCCGGCTGCTCTCGTCCTGGTCCCTTAGCAGCGCCTCGGCGTCCTCATCGCCGCCGTCATGGCCACGACCCAGCTCTCCGTATGCATTGCGTTTTGCAGTTCGTCGTAGCCCACCCATGCGAAGCGTGCGAAGAGCGATTCTCGGGGCTGTTTGTTCGGCGGTAGCGTCTTCTCGATTTTGCCTTAGTAGACCCCTCCTCGTGGACTGATCGGCGGTGGAGACAGGCTGCGGGTCGAGCTCTTCGAGATCAATATCAAGGTCGGATTCTGAGTCGTCGCTGGGCGAGTCTGGGGGTTCGGCCGCGTGATATGGAGTTGATGGAGGCATCCCGCATGGGTGAGATGTCCAGATGGTAGAGACGGCCGAAGGCTTTCGCTTTTAGCGTCTCGTCTTAGCGTGTGCAGCGCGAGATACCGGTGTTGCCCTTTCCCTCCAGGCCAAGCCTGAGCTTGCACTACATTCGCCTCTTGCCCTTCTCAGCTCAGTTTCTCAGAAAGAGCTCTCCCAGTCCGTATCGTCGCGTTGTGCATATGACAAAGAAGGGCCGAGACCGCTGGAGCATGAAAACTGAGGGCGCTTGGGTAAAACCGTTGCAAGAGGACGAAGCGACGTGGCGGATCAACTCGGTCATACATGCGCGACGCTGCGACGGAAGGCTCGAAAATGAGGTTGTCGATGAGAATTGGATGTCCTGATTCGGAGGCATCGAAAGTTGCCAGCAGCTACGAATAGGTGGTTATTGCATTGCGAGAGGGTTGTTGCGTATGCATCTTGGCTGACCAGGGGTCGCTGCGCCCGACCCGTCATGTATTATCGTATGACGCTGAATTTAGCTCGCAGCCAGCTGCTTATCTGTTAGAGCGCTACAGCCCAGTTCCTGCAATCACCAGCCATAGCCGTCGTTTTCACTGTGCTATTCCCTACCAGCAACCACTCGTGATAACACTAGCCTTGTTAACGCTGCCGGTTACAGCTCTCGGACGTTGCAGTAAGGACAGCGTTTCCCTTTTGTCGACTGCGACAGGCAGCGCCTCTTCAAGCCCCGAAAGGCCTGTCATCCTCAGCGAGTCTTTGCCAACTTTCCAGATTGACACTTTCCGAACTGCACTGGAAAACCTTTCTGTCCAGAGTCTCACATCCTCCAACTTTGAGCAAAGATGAATCGCTGCTAGACGTTTCTTCATAGCCTACCTGTGTTTGTATAAGTACGCAATTTTTGTCCCCCTTTTCCTACCCCTTGCCTTCCCATGCCGGCCGTTGAGAGACAGGGATCAGCGACGCGCTCTCGCCGTGTCTCAATTCCCCCTATCTAACCCTTCTTTTTTCTTCACAGTACTTCTATTCCTTTCTCGCGCGCCGCGGACACAGCCGCTGGAGATTCTTCGCGTCGCCTAATTAGTTCACCATGTTGTCCGATGTGCCGAACGCATCATGGCATCCTGCGCTGATGCCGAATTCGACTGCCGACCTCACGCCACAAGCCACGACGTCCAGTCCCGCGCAGCATAGAGTCGAAGAAGACCGAGTATTACCAGCAACGAATACCGAGCAGACACAGGACGACCAGCACGAAAGGTTGGGGTCCGAGTCCTGGCTTCCAGATGCCGGTGCCAACGGCAATTGGATGGAGGGCGGCGCAGAAAATGCGCCTGCCGCAGTACCCGAAGAACCTGAGTCAAGTACGGTCGCTAGGCACTCAGCAAGAATGTCGTTCGCGCGGACCGTGTCCCACGAAGTGAATTGGAACGATGACGACGACGTTGACTGGGACCTTCCGCAAACCGGCACCGATCCGTCCAAGTTCCTCCCAGACACCGGCCGGACGAACTCTTTCCCACCCGCCCCTCCCCTGCAGCAAGAGCCCTCACACGAGCTAGAGCAGCCCCTTCCTGCCAACCAAACCGAGGAATTGCTTCGTGAAATTGAGCAGGAAGAGAATGAAGAGAGCATGGCATTTCCTGATGGTACCTCCGGGAGTATTTCAGCTAACGCCAGCGGATATCCTGACGGACAAGTCACAGGGGACAATTCCGACTCTCACAGATACGCTGACGGTGGTTTTAATGGAACCCGTGATGATGCCCAGCAGGCTCGCTATGAAGAAGGGGTCCCATTGATGTCGTCGACAGACAACGCTGCCGCCCAAGTGAGCTCGGGCGACGGCGGCCACGACCTGTTTGGGGACGCAACAGCCGGTGAAGATGATGATTTTTTTGGCAATGTCCGAGGTAACCCTGCTAACGAGGAGGATAACTTCCAACCACCCCCGTTTGAAAGGAAATCCACCATGGATGTGTTGAATGGTCTGAATATGGGCCCGGCTGGCTCTGGATTTGTTCCCTTGGAGGGTACTGCTGAGGAGACAGAGACTGAAGGAGGCGTGGACCAGCCGCATGGAATCCAACACCTGCAGACCGAGACTACCCAGCCCACTGAGACCGCCGAAAACGCGCAGTCAGCAGCAGATGGGGAGAATCTGGATGAGAAGTGGAAGGCAATGTTTGCTGATGCCGACGACGAGGATTTTCTCCCGGATGAGGAATCTGAACCGAAAGAGGTAGACCCGACTGCGTTTCTCGGTAGTGACGATGAAGGCCTACTAGATGAATCCGAGGTTGAACAGACCGACGCAACGGATCCCCTTGTAACCTCTGGGTCGCAGACGGTCCCAAGCATACCGGCAGTCAACCAGCAGTATTTTCCCGCCACGACGCCTAGCGTGCCTACTCCCTCCACGAATCCTTACCTTCCTGCCGCATCACCGATGACAGCTGCAACCGCAAACCTGAACCCCTATCTACCAGCAAGCGGGCCGATCGCGCCGGTACAACCTCCCGTCCCATCGCCTTTCACAGCGTCGTCGGCCGCACCCTTGGCGCCCGCGCAGCCTGTATATGGCAGGCCTCCTCTGCCTCAGGAGAAGAACAAGGCCCAGAGTTTCGCAGATAAGTCTAAGGGAGGCTACACATCACCGTACGATCTCCCTATGGAGGTCGTCAAACCTAAGAAGCGTGCAAGCACGCAGCCGCTCAGGAACACGTCTGCGCCTATCCCATCTTCTTCGGCCATGCCACCACCACCTCGAAGTGCAAGCTCGCAATCCCATCCTCCACCACCAAGCAGCGGCCCGCATCCTCCACCTCCAAACAGCGCACCAATTCCTGGTATGCCGCGGCCGGGGCCCAGTCACTCGACACAAGCAGCCACGGCCGTACGCAAACCAGCCCATGAGAGCTTCTTTGAAGAGCTTCCTGTGACCACAAAGGCCCGGCCCGCATCTAGGTCAAGCCATAAAAGCCAGCCTTCCCCAACGCAAACGAGCGCTTACGCACCGCCGCCCCATTCAGCGCCTTTCATTCCTCCCGCGGGACCGCCAACTCGAAGCGAGCCCGAACCAGATATCCCCAACTTGGTTGCCCCACCGCGTGTCAATCCCTATGCTTCGCTGACTAACCCTACGGTCCCGTCTGCGGTGCCCCCTACAACCTCGACGCGTTATTCCCCTGCACCTGCTAGCGTTCCTCATGCGAATGCGCCTGTTCCAGCCCCTGCTTCGAACCGGTATTCTCCTGCACCGTCAGTTTCCCGGCAGCCCAGCAGCAGCTATGGACCAGCTGCCGCTGTCCCTGGTCCCCCCCTCTTGCCTCATATGCCGCGCACCTCTAGCCCCTTGGCTCACTTCGAGATATCGCATGAGAAATCCCGAGCCCCCGCGCCGGCGCATACCGCAGAAGGCAGTTTGCCAGAGCGACGGAGCAGCAGCTCTCTATACGATTCACGCCTTCATAAAGTTCCGGCTCTCCCTCCGACTAGGGAGGTTGAGGAGGAGGAAGTACCTTCCCAAACGCAGTCATCACCCGGGCAAGCGCAATCTTTCCAGCCCACCTCACCGCCCGATTCGAGATATGCACCGTTGCCGCAGAAGGCGAGGCAGACGCCTCCGCCACGGCCACTGCCCCCTTCCACGCAGACCTTGTTGTCACCTCCCAAACGGACCATGTCTAGTCACAGTCCACTAGCGTCCTCGTACGAGTTTGCCCTACCACCTCGCTCTCAGACCCAGTCTCCCGGGACATTGTATGGCAATCGGACTGCGAAGCCCGCTGATCCAGTCCCTCGTCCATCATCAGCCAATGCCCCAACGTCTCCACGAACTTCAGGGCATGCTACAGCTGCGATTCCACCTGCCCCCGCACCATTCGCACCCACCACGGGCTCCTCGCGGTCTAGGGGGTTTTCTTTGAACCTCAATGTAATTCCTCCCACGGATGGCCGAGAACTAGATCCGCTTCAGAGGTGGCGAGGCGCACCCCTCGTCTCTTGGGGTGTCGGGGGCACTTTTATTACCATGTTCCCGAAGGAAGTGCCTCGGTATGGCATGAATGAAAGCACCCCTTCTGTGGTTCGCAGCCCTGGAGAGGTCAAAGTCCAGAATATCAAGGATATCACCCCTCTCGAGGAGCGTCTCGCAAAGTTTCCAGGACCTCTCAAAGGCAAGTCCAAAAAGAAGGAGACCATTGCCTGGTTAACAACGGGCATTGAGAGTTTGGAGCGAGGTCTGCCAAAGAGCCTTTTTATCCACCCTCAGCTGTCTCATGACGATAAGCGGGCAGTAGAGAGAGTCCTTCTGTGGAAGATACTCCGACTCTTCGTTGAGTCAGATGGGGTCCTCGAAGGAAATCCGACCGTCGAAAAGGCCGTACGGGATATCCTGACGCCGGGGCTTGAGACATCGGAGAACACGTCACCATATTCGAATGGTGTGACTGGCCTTGGGCTAAGCAATTCGTTAGCAAGTGCCGCACCCGATGCGGTCAACTCTTCCACAGTCGAGCAGATCCGCCGACATCTCCTGGCCGGTGAGTGCGAAAAGGCAATCTGGGCTGCGGTCGACCAACGCCTATGGGGTCACGCTCTCTTGCTTGCCAATGCTCTCGCGCCCGCTCTCTACAAGCAGGTTACCCAGGAATTTGTGAAAAAGGAGGTCAACCTCCCTGGCTACAGCAATGAGCCACTTGCTACACTGTACGAAGTCCTTTCCGGAAACCATGAGGAGAGCGTCGATGAGCTAGTGCCAGTTCATGCCCGTGCCGGTCTTCAGCTCATCGCCAAAGATCCGGTATCAGGACCCTCGAAGGATGGCCTCGAAGGCCTTGACAAATGGCGCGAGACTCTCAGTCTCATTCTCAGCAACAGGAGCGCAGACGATGCCCGAGCGATAAGCTCACTTGGTGTCCTGCTCTCTGGTTATGGTAGAGCAGAGGCGGCCCATATCTGCTTCATGTTCGCTCGCAGCCACAGCGTATTCGGCGGCCTGGATGATCCGGCATCCAATTTTGTTCTCGTCGGGTCAGACCATCAGAGACAAGCTGAGCAGTTTGCCAAGGAGATTGAGCCTCTCTTGCTGAGTGAGGTGTATGAATATGGCCAGAGCCTGGCCGGTGGCTCCAACGTGCCGGTCACAAACCCGCACTTGGCTGCATATAAGCTGCAACATGCTTTTGCTCTGGCCGAGTACGGTTTCAGGGACAAGGCTCTGCAGTACTGTGATGCGATTGCCGCAGCGATCACATCGCAGACAAAGAGGTCTCCGTACCATCACCCTATCCTCGAGAATGCAGTTGAAGATCTCATGAAACGGTTGAAGCAAGCTCCGAAGGAGGAATCCAACTCCTGGATCCCCAAGCCAAACATGAACAAGGTCTCGGATAGCGTATGGAGTCGCTTCAACAAGTTTGTTGCTGGAGACGACAATGACAGCTCGGGCCAAGGATCCCCAGCCGACGGAGAAACTGGTCCATTCGCCCGAGTGGCAGGAGGCACACCGACCATCAGCCGGTCGCCCTCCGTCAACAATCTGGAGACATTCGGTGCTGCAGTTCCGAGCTACGGCATGCCGTCCCACCTGCCCAATCTTCCTGCGGCGACTTCGGCGCCGCCTACAAGGGCTGCGTCTCGCTATGCGCCTGCGGCACCTCAACCGGCAGGAACTAGCAGCAAGTCCTATAGCTCAACTTCCGCGTATGCGCCTCGGTCATCGATGGAGCGGACATCTAGTGAGATGAACAGGAGCTCCTTCGAGTTACCTAGGAGGTCCCTCGAACTGAAGTCTGGGAATTCTGGCGTTTACAGTCCGGTCAGGAGCGGTTCCCCAGCCGCTATGTATACGCCTTACAGTGCCGAATTCAGTTCTCCCCAAGGGTTGCCGTACCACCCGCTTTCCCAGTCGACGCCGCCTCAAACATCTGCCCGTCAGCACTCTGTTAGCTATCCCGACGCTTCTACTAACGGAGTCCCTGCCGATTCCAGCTTGCCTACCCCGCCTTCTAGTAGCCAGGCATCCCGGGCACAGGACCAAGCCCCTGGTACTCTCGGCTATCAACCCACTTCGTATGGATATGAGCCTCCTTCGTTCAATCCTCACGAAGCCCCTGTAGAGGACAAGAATGAAAATTCAAACGAGGGTATAGACGGCAACTCGTATGAACCCCCTTCGTACCAGCCATACAGCTATGAACCGCCATCGTATGAGCCGGAGCCTCAAGCCGACAACGGAAATGATTCTGGCGAAGAATCAAAGCCGAAGCCTAAAAAGAAGGGAATCATGTATGACGATGAGGACGACTTTCCCGCACCGAAGCCCGCCGAGAAGACCAAGGAAGAAAAGGACCGTGAGAACGCCGAGTTGTTCCGCAAGGCTGCAGAGGAGGATGGTAAGTGCCCAAGTTTTCAGAGAATAATTTCAATTGTTGCTAACCAAAGTCAAGCCAAACGCGCTGCTGAAGCGGCAAAGCAAACCAAGAAGGGGTGGGGTTTCACCAGCTGGTTCGGAGTTGGGGCGAAGAAAGACACTTCGCAAGAATCTAGCCCAAACAAGCCTATCCGCGCCAAGCTGGGCGAGGCCAACTCGTTCTACTATGACCCCGAACTCAAGCGCTGGGTTAACAAGAACGCCAGCCCTGAGGACAACGCCAAGATAGCGACTCCTCCTCCGCCAAAGGCAGCGCCCCGCTCCAGCAGCTCCAGCCCGGCGCCACCGCGCTCCCCAGCCTTGTCGCCGTCGGGCGGCAATGAAACAGGCCGCGCCAGCGCCCCTCCAGCCGGACCGCCGCGCTCAACGTCTGCGACACTCAGCCCGCCGCCGTCGGGTGGGCTCGCTTCATCATCACTGGACTCCGGCCTCGCTGCTGGCGGTGGTGCACCTCCGCCCGGGTCTGCGGGAATGTTGCGCTCGGTGTCAAATACCAGCAGCGCAAGCGCGCCGCCGTTGTCGGCGCCGAACAGGCCGCCTACCAGCCTGAGCAACTCGAGTAGTATCGACGATTTGCTTGGTGCGGCAGGACCCAGGAGACCCGGGGCGGCCAAGAAGCCCAGGAAGAGCGCGCGCTACGTGGATGTCATGACTAAATAGTAGGATTGATGCGCGGTGGCAGCATGTGCGAATCCTGCTGCTTGAAGTGAATAAGGGGCACGAAATAAAAGAAAAACGAAAAAGAAAAAACACCAAATACAGCGGTTGCTGGCGTTGGAGGGGACTGGGATGAAGAGACTTGTAAAATGTAGAGTACACACTTACCTTGTTGTAATAATTCGCCTGCCAGATTTTCTCACTCAGGCTGAGATGGGGAGTTAGGTTATGGAGATGGACCAGTCAAGTGCTGGAAACTGGACTCTGTATAACGGCACTCAACGATACATCATGGAGATGAGCATGGGATATGCGATAGGATTACCGAGTAGGATAGCAGGCAATCAACGGGTTCGATTATTGTTCCATCTGGTTTTGCGAGAGCAAGGGAAGGTGGGCTGTCAAGTATGCAGGATGGCCACGCGATAAAGGTTGTAGACACCTATGACTTGAGGCAAACCACGGGACTCAGGATTGAGGACTCACTTAAAGCAACCAAGATTGGGTATTGACAATGGTGTCCCCTGAGATGGACTAGTGATCCCGAAGCTACACGAGTTCTGGCATATGGCCGATTCCTTGCCTCTAGCTAGTTTTAAAACTCCCAACGCCCCGTCCCCGTCCACCATCTAATCCCATCCCCTTGAACACCAACCAGTCCCAAGCCTGACAAAGCCGAACCCAGCTACTCCGTAGATAAATCAGGAACATAGCAGATTATCCCCAAGCAAAACCCCAATCACCCCCAAAAAACCGCCCACCGGGGTCAGTTACGCACTGTAAGAAGAGACATAGTAGGTAACCACATCCTCCGCACCGATATCATCCACATGGGGCACGTAGACGTACAGAATCAGGGCGTGGTCGTCGACAAAACAGGCGATGACGCGGCCCTCTAGCCGCCCCACGCTCAGCACCCTGCTCCAGTCGCGCCCGTCGACGCGCACCGTCGCCCACTTGTCGGGCCCGGCCTGCCGGAAATGTGTCGACGGGTGCTCCTCGAGCGGCATGGCCAGCTGTGCCGGGTCCAGCTCTGGGTTATCTAGTCCGTGCCACACCGACGTGATGTCGAGTGTGTCGGTCGCCAGCCGCAGGCGTAGTGAGCCGTGCATGTTGGCGGATAGTTCGAGTTTTGGGTTCTGGCCGCCGCCGCCGCCGCTCCGGGTGTTGGTGAAGGCGGCGGCGCCGGCTGATGTGAGAGAGGAGGAAGCGCCGCTGCCTGTCAGGGCTAGCTTGGTGAAGCGGTCCGAGATGGCCTTGAGCTGCAGCAGCGGGGGCAGCTGAATGTGCACGTCGGGCTCGCGCACCTTGGGCTGCATGATGGTCTCGACCGTGTCCGGGTGCAGCACGCGCACGGGTATGTCCTGCGTGATGATCTTTTCGCGCTCGCGCTTCATGGTGAGCTCGAGGGATTCCTGAGCGAAGACGTGCTCGTCAAAGGGGTCTGGGCTGTTGTTGTTGTTGGCTCCACCTCCTCGGCCTCCGCCGAATCCGGCCCCGAAACCGCCGCCGCCGCCGCCTCGTGATTCGTGCACCCCGTCCTTGGTCATGGTGTGGATCGTCATGGACAGCATCGGGATGCCGTCCCGCTTCGTCAGGCGTAGGTTGGCATAGCTGCTGTTGATGGCAGACTTGAGAGCGCGCTGGAGTGGGCCGAGGGGCAGTTCGAGATTGATGGTGTTGTTGGCCTCAGCCGATTGCAGGTGGTAGTTGTCGAAGATCAGATCGACGGAGAGGGAGCTGAACCGAGCGTTCCGTCAGTGCGGGTAAGAGAAGGCAAACAAGCCGAGGGGGACGACGTACGCCCATACTTGAGAACCTGTATCGGGGATGACGGTGAATCGAACGCTGTCATCGTCCAGGCGCATCCATGCAATCTTTTCCAGCGAGTTCAGCGCTGCTGTCAACTCTGCGGCAAGAACACATGTTAGACCAGATCTGAAGAGCGCAAGACAGATATTGGAATGGATTTTGGGGGTTCCCACTGGAAAAAGTCCGGACATTCCTAAGGTCCGTCTTGAACCGCATTTTGCATCAAGAAATGATATCGTGTGCTGACATCGAATGAAACCTCTTGGAAACGCGTCGCGTTCAGGGCCAAGTGTGCCCACAGCGGGCCGAGGCTGCCTGCCCTACGCTGCAACGTCAGTGCGGGGTATCCTGGCCTAAAGACTCTACCCCGCCTATGACTACCGGTACCCCCTGTGCGCTGAAAGATCCCCAAGTTCAAATACACCTACCAACCTGCTCGCTTATTATGGCATTGAAATATACAAAATGAAGAATGCGTACCAGTCACTCCATAGCAAGAATGGCGCTAATAAACCCAATGTTATGAGACAGACAAGGCTGTCTCCAATTCTCGATACTCCACTTGTCCACTGCTGCCCCAGCTTGCTCCATCTTTCCCCGCCAAATGTGACATATCCCAGAGCTGACCCAAACACATCCGATACATCCAGACTCTAGAGACCTATGAGAAGCGCCCGTAAAAGAGAATCTGTGCTGCTGTTTCTATGGTGCCGACGGTGTCCCTCGAGTTCCTCCAGGCCGGCGGCAGAGGCTTCAGGCGTCCGAGGGCAGTAATGGCGCGCATGGAGCTTGGTTGCTCCACCATTTCTCCCATTCGAGGTCTCGCGGCCTTGGGTACTTGTCCACCCACGGCCCTCTCCAGATCCCGTCGTTGTTGTCGCCACCATCGCGGCTTCTATTCCTTCTCCGACGGGTGGTCAGCCTCAGTCCCCACAGCCATCGGATCGGGGTCTTCCACCTGCTGCTAAAGAGCTTTCTGGGTCGCTTCTCACTCGCTTCTGGAGTCTGGCAATATCCGCAAGGAATGGCTTGTAGCTTGCTGATCTTCCCGGCCCTTTTTTCTGCGGTAATCTCCTCGTCGAGCTTTGCCTCGCGGGCATCAAGGACGACGGGTAAGACGGGGTGATCACACTGATGGTGCGCCGGAAGACGGCAGACGGGGCATGAGGGTCGCTCGTCGGCTACCATGCCGAGGTATTGCTTGATGCAGTAGCTTCCGAATCGATGTCCACACGGCAGGGCGCTCCATCCCTCGACCGTCCCTTCCGGGCTGAGTGAGCCGACCGGCACGAGGCAGATGGGACATGAGAGCTCGATCTCGTTTGCCATGGGCCGCTTTCCGTCTTGTTTGATGTCGACTTTGCTGCTGATTCCCCACCCCATGGTGATGCTGATAAGTAGAATAAGGGTAGACGTGAAGATCCGTGTTGCGGAAGCTGCAGACCTAATGGGAGCTTGCAAAATGAAGAAAACGATCAAACGTATAGACTGGCGTTCACGATGTTCTAGCGTGAGTCCAGGCATGAATCTGAAGAATAATTCTGCCCTTCTCCGTGGCTCGGAGTGAGCAATTAGTTGGCAGGAGTCGGGTTGGACGGGATTGGGTGGGATGATGGGGCTGATAGCCACCTCACGGCAAGGCAGGAGCACGCAAGGCAACCAAAAGTGACCAGAATTGGATGAAAGAGAACTGAATCAGATTCAGCCAGTGGTCAAAGAGCCAACGGTACTGTACCAGGAACCAGCTAGCGTTGTTCGAGAGCTGTGGAAGGCTGGAAGCTTAGGTTGGGACTCAACACACGTAGTCACTCTGGCACCAGCGCCGAACTCTAACAAAAGATCGCGGGGCCTATCAAACACCGACACCAGGTTGGCCAAGCAGAAGCAGCGTTGAAAGGCAGCATCCAAGGCTCACTTGTTAAGAGCCTGTCCAATCCCCAACCAGGTCTTCCCAATCGAGGCGGGGAAAGGGTCGGTCATTCAGCAAGCCATGCATGCTAAAGGTGATCACCAGGCCTAGGCCGGCCGGACCCTTTCCAGGGCTGATTGCTTGCCCTCCTTCTTAGCACTGCCTAGCAGCACCTACTGTGTAAGCTGGTAATACCGTGTGACAACCTAATCTAGCCAACCACGGGCAAGATTGGATTTGCAGTGCGACTGTCGAGGATTATATTCCGACACTCTGCCCGTCGTTCGGAATACGTTGATAAGGGCACAAAGTTGGAACCTCTCTCATCAGCTTGGTGGTATCTGTACGGGCAACTACAAGCCCCAGAGCTGCAAGGACTATAAAATCCTGGATGCTGTTCGTTACTCTGTACTATAGTTTGCTTTGTACTGTTTCTGTTTCCGGAGACAGGCAGCATTCCAGGGCTGGGTTGTTTGAAACAAGTGGGGTTGATAACGTTTAAGTCACGGGCAATTGCATGGAGTGCCATCAGGGTGCAGTGACACTGTATCGTACTATCCTGGGATTCCTGGCATTGGTGCAGAAAGGTAAACCGGTGAGACCAGATACGGAGTGACTACGCTAGAGTTCCCACGGGGTATGGATTAACACAAGTCTGTTGAACTGACCCACTCATTTAATCGTGATCGGATGCTGTTGTTGTGTACGAAGGTACTTGTACCAGGTAATTATGGGATAACAGTGTGGATCTTGGATGCAGCTCCGTTATGTGCATACATAATGCAGCCCGCTATACTTCTTATTTGCATATTTTACATAACGCACCCTCACCATCTCCCAACCCAGACATCAACAGACAACGTTTCTCCAATGCTCCAAAACTATCGCCCTCCAGAATTTCGAGAAGCACAAGCTGAACCTAACAACTGCGTGTCATCGGCCATCGACATGGATTCAACAGCAACCCAGTCGACGGCCCTCGTCCGCAAGCGGACCGACATGGAGCTGATGCCGCCGCCCCCCCCCGCGAAGCGAATCAAGCGACCGAAGCGGATTCTCGATGAAGACACTTACACAGAGGCGCTCTCACAAATCATTGCCCGCGACTTCTTCCCGGGCCTTCTCGAGACCGAAACACAACAGGAGTACCTCGACGCCCTAGAGTCTCAAGACGAGGAATGGATTGAAAGCGCAAGCCGGCGCCTCCAACACGTCATGACTCCCGGCCGACGGCGCATGCTTGCGACCCCGCTCCGCCAGCCTCGACAGGCCACCGCAGCCGGCCACACCCCTCTCGACTTTGTCGGAGATACGCCCGCCTCGGCAGCCTCGTCCGCAGCCACAAGCTCAAAACGACAACTCCCAGGCGTAGACACCAACCTTTCCCTGGCCGCATTCCAGTCCAAGTACACCAGCGAGGACAACGAGTCCTTCTACAAGCTGCTAGACAAGCAGAACCAGAAGCGCGTCCAAAAATACGCCTGGCTCTGGACGGGGAATAAGCTGCCGTCCAAGCAGCAGCTCAAGCAGAAGGAGGTGGAGGCGAAGCTGCTGGCGCAGCGTGGTAGCGGCGCCCTGGTGGACGATGGGTTCGCGCGGGACCGGCTCGCCATCCGCGACAAGGAGGATGCCGACGCCGCCACGCGCCCCGCCGCTCCGGACCACTGGCGGGGCGCCAAGCCCCATAACGAGCTCATGTTTGTGCCCGACGGCGTGGACGGGCTGGTCGAGACGGTGGCCGAGCGCGCCCAGGCCGAGAGCAGGGCCGAGCCAAAGCGGATTGTCTACGAGAATACTAGGGCGCCGGTGCCTGTGGCTGCGCAGCGGGCCAAGGGGGCTGGTGATGCAGGGGAGGAAAGATCCCGCGCCGGATCGCCTTCGCTGTCGGAGATTAGGAGTGCAATTGCCGGCCGGGGCAGGGCCTGCGATGTCGAGTCCAGCGTGGGGGTTGCTAGCGGGGGCGAGACGCCCAGAGTGAACGGGTATGCGCTTGTCGATGATGAGGAGCCGGAGCCGGAGCCGCAGAGAGGCAGGAAAGGGAAGGTGCCGGTCATAGACCTTGGCCCTGTGGATGCTACACCGAATCCGTTTCAGCTTCAGGAGCAGAGGAAACGGGAGGCGCTCCATCACCGGATGGTGGAGCGGATTTCGCAGTCGAAGCGGACATCGGCGAGGCTGGGACTTACGGGCAAGGTGGAGAGGACGCCCGTTCCCAAGTTCCCTAGCAGCCCAAGGGTCTCATCTGAAGCGCTGACTCCTGCGGCTCAAAGGCTTTGGGGGAAGATTGGTAGTGCTAGGGGGAAGGGATCCGAGTCGCCTTTCAGTGACTCGATCAAGGCTACCCCGAGATCGACGCCACGGGGGAAGGTGTCAGGCTTGCGGAATATGATAAAATGAATGGCATTGAGCGGTTTGTTTTCAAATGGGAGGCAGCGAAGTTGGTTTATGATAGATACCCAGTCTGATTGGTAGACGAGCATTCAACTAGATAGCGGTTTTCCCACGAAATATAGGTGGCTTAAATCGTTATCATGCTTGCTGCCGTTGAATTTTCATGACAACTCAAGCTCGATCCTCCCGTAACCAACGTTATCCTGGAACCGCTTTCCCATCTTTACCGTGGATCTTCAACCCAAATTGCTCAAAGACCCCCACACTGATCATAGCGCGTCTCCAGCCGGTCGGGTACCTACCCGGCGCTAGCAGGGGAGCCTGCAGCTCAATGGACAAGGGGCTTCTGCGCCAAAAATTTGCGACTTTCGGGCTGACGTTACACGAAGAGAATCCATTTCGCTACGCATCTCATAACGACCTCTTTGGCCTGGATTCATCTCATGTACGGCCGTATTAGCCTCATCATGAGATGGAAGCTTCATTTCCGGCGCAATACTTGAGGTAGCACAGCCTTGTCACCTTCACATGATTTTTTATCCCATTTTCAGTTTACGTGTATTCTACAATAGTAAAAGGCGTCATTACCTCACTTTCACAAATGGGATTCGCCAACCTGCTGGTCGACCTTTCCGCCGTCGCAACCGCCTCCCGCCAGGTGGCTTCAAAACATGTTGCTCTTAGGACGCGGCAGATCGAGCGGTACGGCAGGAGCTCAAGTGTTGTAGGGGCAGTTTTGCGGAGGCAAGGGGCAGAGCAGGAGCAGCCGCAGCCGCAGCAGCAAGGGGGAGGGGAAAGGGCGTCGGAATCTGGGAAGCAACCAAGCGTTCACGTGGCAGAGCATGTGAAGGAGAAGCAGAGTCCAAGGGACGATATCCCACCGAGGGACAAGTCGGTTGCCGCTGGGGAAACAGACACAAGTGATGGGGGAAAGGCTGAATTACGGGAAGCCGGGAATGCAGTTGAGTCGACGACGAAGACCGGTGCGCAAGGAGCGAGGAACTCAGAGTTTGTCCCCGCGCCATGGGCCGACGGGACAATCGCGGCGCTGAAGCAGGGGTTCGTCCTGCCGAGGACACCGCCGCCCCAAATACCGGGAAAGAGGTTGGTGGGTGGTGCAGCCGGCGTTGATCTCAACATCTTTCGGACAAGCCGGGGGGCGAGCATCTTGGAGGCATTGAAGGAAGTCGAAGAGAAGGAGCAGACGAAGGAACAGACGAAGGAACAGACGAAGGAACAGACGAAGGAGTCGTTTATTACTCCGAGCACCGAAGAAGGAGAGGCAGTCGTGGAGAAGTCGGTGAAGGAGGCAAAGCTGCCTGACAGCAGTGACAGGGGAGTGAGCGATAAAGCGCCTGAAACGATACCCACGCCGCCCAGAGTTGCGCAAAAGGTTCTGGATACGCGAGACGCCGCAAAACCCGCGGGCGACAAGGCTATTGAGGCAGAGCTCACCCCCGAAGTAGCGGCCCCCGCAGCGGAAGCCCCTACCAAACCAGAACAGGTACTCTCCAAAGAAGATGCCAGTTTGATTGCGGACTTAACCGGCTCCGCCCCCGTTCGCACCTACGAACTCCGCGAGTCCCGGGTCCCATCGTCAAGGATTAGTCGGCTTTGGAATTACGGCGGGCTTGCAGCTGGCATGTTTGCCGGCGCCATTGGCGAGGGACTGAGCCGGGCAGTTGGGGGCGGCGGTTCCGGCTCGGTGATGCTCAGCGCAGCCAACATGGAGCGGCTTGTAGCCAAGCTCTCCCGGATGCGCGGCGCGGCACTCAAGTTGGGACAGATGATGAGCTTCCAGGACGCCAAGATGCTCCCTGCGCCCATCCAAGAGGTTCTTCAGCGAGTGCAGGACCGAGCAGACTATATGCCCGCCTGGCAAAGAGACCGTGTTCTTTCGTCCAACCTCGGCGCCGACTGGCGGGATCTCTTTGGGGAGTTTGAGGATAAGCCCATCGCGGCGGCCTCGATCGGCCAGGTTCACCGCGCAACTCTCAAGTCCAACGGCGCCCGTGTGGCTGTCAAGATCCAATTCCCCGGCGTGGCCGACTCGATCAACTCGGACCTTGACAATCTGGCCATCCTTCTTGCCGCAACCAAACTGCTGCCGAAGGGCCTGTATCTCAACAAAACCATCGACAACGCCCGCACCGAGCTGGCCTGGGAGTGCGACTACATTCGCGAAGCCGAGTGCGCCGAGCGGTACCGCCAACTGCTCACCCCGAGCGGCGGCAAAGGAGACGACGACGACGTCTTCTCCGTACCGCGCATCTACCGGGAAGCAAGCGGCAAGCACGTTCTGACCATGGAATTCATGAACGGGGTGGGCGTGACGCGCATCAAGTCCTTCACACAAGAACAGCGCGACTGGATCGGCACGCAGATCCTGCGGCTGTGCCTGCGCGAGATCACCGAGTTCCGCTTCATGCAGACGGACCCCAACTGGACCAATTTCCTGTACAACGCCGCCAACAACAAGCTCGAGCTCCTCGACTTTGGCGCCTCGCGCGAGTACCCGGACCGCTTCATCACCCTGTACGTGGCGCTGCTCGAGGCGGCCTCCCGGTCTGACCGCGACCGGGTCAAGGCGCTCTCCGAGGACCTGGGCTACCTGACGGGCCACGAGAGCAAGACCATGCTCGACGCCCACGTCACGTCCGTGCTGACCCTCGCCGAGCCTTTCCTCCGCAGCGCACCGGAGGTGTATGATTTTAGGGATCAGACCATTACGGAGCGCGTCAAGGCCCAGATTCCCATCATGATCCATGAGCGGCTCGCGCCGCCTCCTGAGGAGACGTACAGTCTGCATCGGAAGCTGAGTGGTGCGTTTTTGTTGTGCGCAAGACTGGGGAGCCGGGTGAGGTGTAGGGAGTTGTTCGAGAGTGCGCTGGAGAAGACGGGGTATCTGCGGAACTGAGATCGGGTGGTGAGGAGTGTATTATGTACTGTATTGTAAACATAGAAGGCATATGTAACCCGCCATTTAGACTTGTATGCATACCACTAGACAACGGCCGCCGATGACGCGCCGGTGTATCATCTCTATCAATACCACCAGCCTCATTTCCATAATTCCATCTACCTATCCTCCACCCCCCTCCTCGCAACGGGCAGCAACTTCTTCTCCTTAGCCGCAATCTTCTTCCTCCGCCTCTCAATAACCTTATCCACTTGCTTCTTCTTCAACCCCTGGAACTGCTCCACCAGCACCCTCTTCTTTCTCTCCGACCGTTTCAGATAAAACGGCTTCTTGCCCTGCTTAACGAGCTCCTTCTCCTGCTTCCTATGCTCTTCAATCACGGCACGCTCGCGATCCTTGCGCTCCTGCGCCTTCTTGCGGCTCTCCATCGACATGAGCGCCCGCTGCAACGCCTCGCGCTGGACCGGGTCTTTCGTCTTCTTGATGGCATCCCGCAACTGCTGCATCTCGGACTCGCGGTACTCGTCCAGAAAGGCATACGCCTTGCGCGCCTTGATCTCGGACACGGTGTTGGTGGCGGCGGAGGTAGGGGCGCCGCCGCCCACGGGCATGAAGCGCGGGTCCCGCGGCTGCTTCTTTTGCAGCGGCGCCGTAACAGTTAGGAATTCGCGCTTGCGTGAGACGGGCTTCTTGCTGCTCATCTCGACGGGCGCGTGCTTGCTTGTCCGGTGGGGGGGTTTCTCGGGCTTTTTGTTGCTGGTGGGCTCGGGACCGTCCCCTCTTGACTTGGTCTCGAGGGAGGCAGGTTTGGAGCTGTCGGTTTGTCCACGCTGCCGTCTTGATGAAGAGCCCAGCGAGGCTTGAGCCCGGGCGAGTGCGCCAAAGGTGAGTTGGGAGGCGTCGATTTGGCGGCTGTCACCGTCCTCCTCGTCTTCCTCGTCCTCTTCATCATCTCTTGAGTCTGACCCAATGTCCGAATTTTCCTTACGCACGGGTTAGAATTCTTGGTCTTTAATTGTGAACGTGGCTTTGACTCACCTCATCATCACTCCCGCTCCTCATCTCATCTCCATCTTCATCTTCACTGCCTTCTGACTCACTAGGGCCGACGGTCTCTTCACTCGGCGCATCGCTCACGGCACCTTCAATGTCAGATTCAGGCTCCGGCTCGTATCTAGGTCTAACCCTCCTCTGCAATAGAGTGGCGGGCATCTTCCGCTTGACTGAGGACATGTCTGGGATTATCGGCCGAGATGGAGTTTTCAACGGGCCTTCCGACAAAATCAACTATGGATTTTGATTATGTGAATCTTGGTGGATTATTATGTTGTTTGGTGGTATCAGTGTGTAGGCAGGCTGTTGACGTTGAAAAGCCTGAAATTGCGGCCAGTGGTTTGGATGGGAGATTTCTTTGATGGTAACAGAGTGCTGTATCATTCTGGTTGTGGAAATGGAAGTTACCTAAGGTGACAGACAGACAGACCCACTTTTCAATTCCTCCCACTTAGTCTCTCACTTACACCTCCCAACTTTCCAGATGATATGAATTCAGCAAATCAATTTCTGAGAATCCAGGGAACTGGCAGGCAAATATATTGACACTCACATCACAGATCTTACTTTCCGCCGCGGTTCCCCGCTTCCTCACAAGCACAAAAGTTAGCGAAAAAACGCCCTCCTTAACCCGCCTTTCAGCAGGTCAACGGGACTCAAATTGACTACCTGCCCGCTACAACCCAAGCCTTGGCACCGGTACCGCCCTCCCCTACATTCTTCCTGAAGCCATATAGGATACGTATTTACCTAGCCTTTGCCCTCAGCGTTCCAGAAAACCTTGAAGCTCCATGCGCGACATAACCGACAATCAAGCCTGCCAAATGTCACCTTTCCCCCATCCTCACCGTCCCCGCCCTCATGATGGCTCGGTCCAGTTGACCACATCCATAACTTGTCCTGCAGTAGGATGCGAGTATCCTATCCTCAGGCGTAACCGCAAAGGCTAGAAGAGGGTATGATTAGCCGGAGACAAAAAAATCCGCATTTCGTCGAGACGAGCTTACCCCTTTGCACCCCGCCACCCTCATCATCTGCGTTGCTTCCGCTCCAGGCCCCAACTCAGTCGACGATATACTCAATAGCTGCAATTTCTGAGATTTGGGAACGGCCGCCTGCAGGCCAACGTTGGAAAGCGACGCGGCAGGCGACGTATTCCGGAACCGAGCGATGGCCTGAATGGCACCCTCGGCGTTTCGCTGTGTCTGGATGGTCACATTCAAACCGTTGTTGTCGTAGCAAGGATGACCAGCCGGCGCCTGTGCGGCGGGAACTGCCTGCGGTGGGGGCGAAGCTGTCGCCGAGAACATGCCGAGGCTAGGAGGAGGGGCAGCGGCCCCTTGGACTGGAGATGGCGTAGATACAGGACCTTGCGAAAACAGATCCATGATGGAGGCGACATTGGACTGCGCCGAAGGTGGGGCGGGGGGAGCAGGCGAGCTAGTGCCGCCTAGAATATCTGCTAGGAGGTCGGTATTTTGCGTGCCGTTGACAGGCGCGGGCGAGGGAGCGCTGCTGTCGCCCATGAGGTCGAAGAGGAGATCTTCCTCTTTTGGCTTGAGAGCCTTTGACTTCCGGTTCGCCGTCTTGGTTGACTTCTTGGCTGCCTCACCGAGAACCCGCGACTCCTCTTTGATTTGGGGAGGGGGCATCTTCTCCAACACGCCCCGGCGAATCTGCTCATAGGCGAATAGATTGCCAAACTCAACGGCGCGTTGCTGAACCTCAACATCTAGGCTTGTCTGGTGGCTCTGAAGAAGGCGGCGCACTCGCTCGATCTGCGCTGGATCGGATAGCTTGGTCGAGAGCTTGGCCAAAGCGGTGATGAGGTACTCGGTCGTGACCTGCGTGGCGTAGCTACTGTTAAGAATCGTAGAGAACAGGTCAATGACCTCGTGCTCCTTGACCTCCTGAACCAACTCCTCTTCCTCGTACTGGCCGCCCCGGAGAAGCGCATCACCATACTCGCCGATACACCAGGCGCCGGCCTGTGTCAAGCTCTCTTGCGTGATGTCATTCTTGAGGTTCGCGTATAGCTTTTGAACTGCATATGTCTGTAATTCAGGGGTAGTGGCAATAAGGCGGACAAATGAGGAGAGGATGGGTTCTTTGACGTAATTTCCAGCTAATGTCACGACCCTTAGCATGGTATCGAAGTGCCACCGTTTGTTTGGCGCATAGCGATCGGCTGCAACGCCAATCTGAGTGGTCATGGTCGGCTTGAACTCATTGTCGGCCACCTCCAAGAAAGCCAGCAGTTCCCGGATCAGCACACGGACGTTGCTCTCGTTGATAAGCGTAAAGCTGAGGTCCAAAGCTCTCCTCCTAATGCTGATGTCGGGATCCCGCAAACACTCCAAAATCGTGTTTCGGTGCCTCTGCACGGCGTTGGTGTCGATGGCCACCACCTTGACGAGCGTATTTAAGGCGACGTATCGGATATTGTTGTCCTTGTTGGTCAGGAATTTGCCGAGTATGTTCACACCCAGAACACGGAGCCCTGAATCCGCTTCAATGTCCAAAATGGTCCGGACTGCCTCGTAGAGGATCGAGTTGCCCACGTTCTTGGAGGAATCTGTATTTGTCGCGACCTGGGCTAAAATATCGTTGATCTGTTCCGTAACCTGAGCATCCCCGCGGGCCAGGACTCGGAGTAGGCGCAGCAACTTGACCTGCAGAAAGGGATCCGTAATCCCGGTAACGTCGTGTTCGGGGGCATAGCCTGATGATGCTAGCCCTTTGAGAGTCCTCACGAGCACAGGCACGAACTGTCTAAACTTGTCAACGATACCCTCTTCTCCGCCTTCGGCTTCGTCTGCTTCGCAAAGACTATTGACTAATGTCAAACCACATAACAGCACGCCGTGGTTCCGGTCCGAGAGCAGCTGAGCCGCCTTCTCAATGAAGTGCTCCTGCAAGTCTGGGACCTTTCGACATATCCGCATGGCGCACAGGGCTGCCTTCCGCCGGATATAGGGGTTCGCGGTGGATATTAGGCTTTCGATTTCGGAAAACAAGTCTCGCGACATCTCAACGGAGGCAATGTTGCCCAGTGTGCAGAGGGCAAGGCCAACAACGTATTGGTTGGAGTGGGACAGGTCACTGTCAGCGCCGAGTTAGCAAGTTAGTCATGCCACGCGTGGTCTACCTCTCTGGAATCGGTACTTTTTGAGAGAGTTCGTGACCAGGGTCAGGACCTCCTGGTTCTCATCGAGCAGCAAGCTGGTCGCTAGGTGTCCTAGTCGCTTGTCGGCAAAGCGGGGCGAGGCCAGAAGCTTGAGACACTCAATCTGGCCAAAATGCGTCCGCTCGCCGAGTGTGAAGAGGTACAGCAGCTTGGCCACATTGTTCCGCCTGCGAATCACGACTGATCAGCACACCAAGGTTCCTCTCCAGTATCTCGGCCGGCTCAATGCACCTGACGCTGTGGTCTGCGCTCTCCTCTCTGAAGCTCGCCCGAATGGATGCGCTCTCCTTTTGAATGACGGCTCGTTCGTCGGCAATGGTCTTAGCGGCGCGGACGTTGCGAATGAACTGCTTGACTAGCGGGTGGTGGGCGGATCAGCGCTTTCGTCGCTAAATTCACAATTATTGAATTATTGAACTGGCGACAGCACTTACGGGAGCTCATTTTGAAAAGTGCCAGGGCCCGCTACGGGGCCGGGAGAAAGAATCTGACCAAATTGAAGGGGCAGTTGATGCCGCGAGAAGAGGTGTTTAAAAAGGTGAATCTGAGCGTAGATAGTCGCCGTATCACGGACCCTAACGATTGATCACCGCGATGTGGCCCGGTGGCCCGGTCGCTGCTGGTGACGGCGGATGGCAGCTGTCTCCGACCGACTGACGGATAGCCGAGTGAGCAAGGTACCTAAGGCGCCAACACGGCGTGGGCGGTAATGAATGTAATTACACGGCGTGGGCCGTCACAGGTATTGTAATCTTGTCAGAAAGTCACAGTTGGGCACCGTATACACGTACGCTAAAGTGGTGATGGAATTCATAGTGGTTGTCAATTGGATTGATTGGTTGTAGGTGGAAAATCTCTGCAGGAGGATAGAGTGCCCAGTCAGGGGTAATACCGAGCTAAGTCTACAGAGGGCATATTTCCAACACACCTCCCCAGTTGAGCCAATTCCTAGCGAAACTGCAATATAGAGCCAAATCGCTCAGATCCAAGGTCTTTTCGAATAAGCTAGGAAACATATACATTTTCAGCATTATAGGATTTTCCAGTTCCAGGCCTTCTCTAGCCCAAGCCTCCATTCTAGGGCTTTCCTAAGCCTAGTCTTCCACTTTGGTTAGAGCCCCCTACACTTCCATTGCACCTAGTCAATCCAATTCTATAGCTATATCGTCAGTATCAGTTATTATAATATCGCTATCAATGCCTTCCTAGGCGTTCTCCTATATTCTCTCTACTTACCTACATTCTTCTAGGCAATCCTCACAATCTTCTAGGCCTAGCTACTTTATACTATTTATATAAAGCTCCTTAGTTAGAGCCTTTATTAGTCCATTACTAATTATCTTTATAGTAGGTATAACGTACTTGCATAACGAGTTGCGCAGCATAACGAGTTGCGCAGCATAACGAGTTGCGCAGCATAACGAGTTGCGCAGCATAACGGGTTGCGCACTTTTCTCCCATTTACAACCACCCAACTCAATCACTGTATTACTCCCACAACACACAATGGAACCTCTTCCAAAAGAGAGTCATATTTTTCTTGCACTCGAAACTCTTGAAAAAGACCCAAAACTTTCCGTTCGAAAAGCTTCTACGATCTACGAGACTCCTGAAAGCTCGCTCCGCTATCGACGCGCTGGAAAGCAACCACGCCACGAAATAGCCGCCAACCTTGGAAAACTGACCGACTTGGAGGAAAAGGTCCTTCTTGAGAGGGTACTGGACCTTGATGCGCGAGGATTTCAGCCCCGGCTCGCTGACGTCCAAGATATGGCCGATCGTCTTCGCGTAGCACGCGACGCATCACGCGTCGGACCCCGATGGGCGAACAACTTCATGAGCCGACACCCCGAGCTTATAACACGTTTTCGACGCCGGATCGACTACCAGAGAACCCAATGCGAAGATCCTGACGTGGTAAACGCGTGGTTTCGACTTGTACGAAATGTGATTGACAAGTACGCGATCCAGGAGGGGGATATCTACAATTTCGACGAGACTGGGTTCCAGATGGGGATACTTTCGGCTGTAAAAGTCGTGACAAGCTCCGAACGCCGCGGTCGGCCTCGTATGAAGCAGCTTGGTAATCGGGAGTGGGTTACGGTGATCCAAGCCGTGTGTGCAGATGGCTGGGTCGTGCCGCCGTACTTCGTTGTCAAGGGGAAAAACCACCTCCTCCCCTGGTATCAGGACAGCCGATTCCAGCCCGAATGGAGAGTCCACACCAGCGAAAATGGCTGGACTACAAATGAGATTGGTCTAGATTGGTTAAAATATTTTGATCATTCTACCAAGCGTCGTACAAGAGGGGTATATCGGCTACTTATCCTTGACGGCCACGAAAGCCACCACTCGGTCGACTTTGAGGATTTCTGCAAGGCCAACAACATTGTTACACTCTGCATGCCTCCCCATTCATCTCACTTCCTTCAGCCTCTCGATATAGGATGTTTCAGCCCGCTTAAGGCCGCGTATGGCAAGCAAATCGAGAAGATGATGCGAATGCGAATCACTCACATCTCGAAGGAAGACTTCTTTAACGCATTTGTTGAGGCATTCCATGCCTCAATCACAGCGAACAATATACGGGTGGGCTTTAGAGCAGCTGGCTTCGTCCCTTTTGACCCCGAATCTGTAGTTTCTCGCCTCGACCCTAAGCCCAACACCCCATCTCCTCCGAGCTCGCGTCCTGGAACAGCTACATCTTGGGTGCCCAAGACACCCTCCAACGCGCAGGAAGCAATTCTAAGCTCTAGCACACTCAAGCGGAAGATTGAAAACCATCAAGGTAGCTCTCCCACTCACATTTTCGACATGATCGACTTGCAAGCAAAGAGCATTTCGATGTTAGCACATGAGCTGGTGTTGCTCCGAGCTGAGACCAAGGAGCTCCGTACGGCAAATGAGCGGCAAAGCAAGCGACGTAGGACCAAAAAAACACGTTTGCAAGATGGTGGATCACTTAGTCTACAAGAGGCGACAGTTTTAATGGCCGAACAGGGACTTGGTGGTCAGGATTGTAAGGAAACGTCTGGGAGTAGTGGTTGTAGTACTGCGGCTATGCCACACGTTCGGCTCTGTAGCAACTGCAAGAAGCCCGGCCATAATGCACGAACTTGTCAGGTAGTTGCAAGGACGTCTGATGAAAGCGAGTCTGAGTAGTTTCAATTAATGAGAGGTATTGTAGTTGAATTGACTTATACAAAGCAATGCAGGTGCAAGAAAAGTGCGCAACTCGTTATGCTGCGTAACTCGTTATGCAAGTACGTTATACTTATTAAACTTGTATATATATACCTACTTATAATTAAAGATTTAGTAGCTATAGGCATTGTGTCACGAACTAAGCCAACAGGAAGGCCGCATGCCAGAAACCCGGCGGGCCACAGGCAGCAGCTCCCCGACCAATCACCAAGGAACTCAAGAAACAAGGGTAACGTTAAGGGGATCAGTGGGCTCAGTCGCCAGGCGAACTGAGCACACTGAGCACCTTCATACGGAACGAATCAGGAAGCAACGAATGTTTAGAGGTGATCAGTGGGATCAGTTGGAGGGCAGTACTGAGCAAACTGAGCACCTTGGGAAATAGCTAGTATATAGTCACTTGTCCTGAAGAGCTCTGAGAGTTCTCCAGTAAGCAATGCAAGCAGTTGTCTATGCTACTGTGTGAACACTTGCTTGTGTCAATTGTTGTAGACCCTTTGGCTCTACCGAACCTCACCCCGT